AACGTTACCTGCCTGACTGCATCATGCCAACTGTAAAGTTTGGTGGTGGAGGGATAATGGAACGGGGTTGTCTTTTAGGGGCTGGGCTAGGCCCCTTAGTTCCAGTGAAGGAAAACTTAATGCTACAGCATACCAAAACATTTTGGACAACTCTATACTTCCAGTTTTGTGGGAACAGTTTGGGGAAGGTCCTGTGCTCCAGTGCACAAAGCACGGTCCATAAAGACATGGTTGGGTGAGTCTAGCGTGGAAGAACTTGACTGGTCAGCAGAGCCCTGACCTCAACTAGAATTGACATTGTGAGCCAAGTCTTCATGTCCAACATTAGTGCCTGACCTCACAAGTGCTCTACTGGATGAATGGGCAATGGACAATCTGCAGACTCTCTTGTGGAAAGCCTTCCCAGCAGAGTGGCGGCTGTTATAGCTGCAAAGCGGGAACCAACTCCTTGTTGATGCGTATGGATTTAGAACGGGATGTGATAAAAGTTCATGTAGATGTAATGGCCAGCTGTCCCAATAGTTTTGCTCATATAGTATAACATGAACTGTAGATCACAGTACCAGGACGGGGTTTGGCTTGACCTCAGGTGAACCCACCACGAGGAGAGCCCAGCACGCCTAAGTGGGGGAAACGGACGCACATGCACCACTTCTGTCCCTGTGACCCCATGACCTGACAATCGAGTGACTTATTAAAACTGAAAGAAAGAAGCTATCCTAGAGTCATTCCCATAGGCGGAAACAAACCACTTGAAAACCAGCAAGCCACTTCTTAGTAGGGTAAGCTGCTTGTGTCACTCATTTAGTCAAAGTCATTGGTTTACAGCTGTTCCTCTGTAAGTATGAAGAACGGCCATATTAGAGAAAATCAGCTGGATAAATGACATGAGAGAAGACGGTCTCTACCCGACCCACTGCTGGGATCAAAGGCAAGTAAGACACGTGAACTGATCCCAAGACATGAGACACTGCTGCCCCCATCAGGCCAAACTGTGACACTGCGAGTGACTTACTGTCACGACAGACACCTTAAGTTAATGGCAAAAGTTATTACAGAATTAAGAGTAAAATAAATAAATAAGTGGCTAAATAAACAAACAGGCCCTGGAGGCAGCTTCTAAAATCACACTGAAGTCTCAGGCTGTGGTTTCAGCATTCAGAGGTTTATGGAAAAACCCAACTGCCCGTTTAGGGAGCGGCACAAGGAGAGCTGTGTTTATAGGGACATTAGGTGCATGTGTGGCGCTCTGTCCTGTATAGCTTGGCACACGGTCACTCCTGGGCGGAACCTGACCTTTGGTGGCGTGAGCCTCGGCGATCATGGAGAGGCGGTAGACAGGGGCGCCCACAAGCTGCATGTCATCCAGTGTGACCTGGGAGTACTGGCCGATGGCTTCCTGGTAATCCCCCTCCACGTAGCATAGCTTGGCCATTAGCAGTTGGGCCTCCTGCTGGTGGTCGGGCTGGGGACACAAACCCTACTTATGTGGACTACACCAGGAACTCACCATGAAAGGAACTTCTCCTTCCAGAAGGCTGCTAAGCATTTCCATTACACGGGTGTGACTGAGGAGAAAGCAACTAAGGTGGAGTCAGACCATCTTTATCCTGTAGCGGCACTTGCTAATGCTAATGCATTAAGCTAACAATAGGATGAATAAGCTCGTGGGAGTTTTACTTACACAAATATGTTCTGAGGGCAGAAGGAAAAATGATTGATTCAGAGAGAAAACCAATCAGACTGTAGAGGAGGTGGGACCAAGACATCTGATTAGTTGGTCCTGCTTCCTCTAGTTGCTTTAACCCATCTCCTCTACAATCTGATTGGTTATTTCTCTGAACCAATCATTTTTTTTTCTGCCCTAAGAAAAATTTTTGTACAAGTAAAACTCCCATGAGCTCCGTGGCCCACGCAAAGTAGAGTTCGCAGGGATAAGCAGCCCCATCCTGCATGGATTTTGGAGCCTTGCCTCCCCACTACATTTAAAAGGAGTGGAGCTCAACACCAGAGGGTAGCAGCCAGTGTGAATTTCTTAGGTACCATTAAGGCCAAAGGCTGGTGAGCATGACTTTCATCTCTGTATTCAGCAAGTCAGCAACAGCCCCATAAACAAAAGGAGACAAGACAAGAGGGGGCACCCAAATAGATTCATCTTCCTGTGCTGTTTTAACTTAGCAGGTGATGCAATAACCTTCAGGAAGGGCTCGCCCACCTCTTCAAGCCACAGACAGACAATGACTCACTGGAGAGTCATGCCTCACCCAGTTTCACCCTTCTGAGGAGGGGACACTGACGCTATGAGCACAGCATGAATGGAGCCAAACTGGATTCAGGGTAGGCTTGGGCTATGTCTGATCTTTCGTACCATCTGGACATTGTAATGCAGCATAGGCGACTCTAGGCTTTTATACCAGGGAGTGCATGATGAGTGAGCCCAACAAGACATTCATCCAGATAAATCAATTAAAATAAATAAATAGTAAATGCATTTACAATAATTATTGCACATTCACATGAGTAACACTTAGCATTTCTATATGACCAGCAGGGGGTGAAATCGCACATCCTGCATAACCACCGATACGCTGATACATTTCAGCAAACAGCCACCCAATCTTCAAAAGATTTTAAAATGCCATGGAACACCACCCTAAGATAATTCCGGGTTTCTCTTAGGTGTGCCCCTGAGCATCAGAGCCTTTCCCTTGAAAAACTAAAGTCCATTCAGGACACAGGAACATGCTTCTGGACCTACCTTGAGGTTCCCCCGGTCCAGAGCGGCCGTCAGATGTTTTCGGACCTCGACTAGTTTGGGCCGGGCACCCCGGGGACTGGCCCCTGGCTTGATGGGGTTCTCCTTCAGGTACTGCAGAAGCTTGGCCTCCCCTAGGAGCAGCTCTCCCAGGTCATCTGGGGGAAACAGTCCATGGCGTCAAAAGTGATCTTGGCCTAGTTCATGACTCTCACAGGCTTGGACATGATGTCTCATGACTGACTGATGTAGACATGACATCTTGAGGTCGTCTATGTTATGGCTCCTCCGATCAAACAAGCATGTCATCCATCTATGTGGATGGAGCATGAATGAAAATGGCACAAGCGACGTACACATCCTGCAGCAAACCGCAAAAAACAGAACTGCCTGCAAGTCTAACATTTTCTCAGGACTATACTACAGAAACAATAGTACAACTACTGCTAAGGAACAGTGTGTCTCTTGCCTATGTAGCCTGTTCTAAGTGAACAGCCCTCAGTAATGGGTAACGCCTTCAGTCTCTTTGCCAAAACAACACCGGCAGTGCCAGGTGGGTGGGGGGCCTCTGCCTCAATGTGGGGAAACAGAAGCATTCATGTCTGCAAAACCGTATCTCTTGATACAATCTGTGCTGGCCACGTGTAGCCTGATCCGGTTATAGACTGCTTGTTTCTGCTCCATCTTAGGATGAGCTTGTCTTAATTAACCAACTGGAAAAAAAACAGCGGAGAGGGGTAATCTGCCGGACTTTGTCACAGAGTTTGTCTAAATGAACAAGACGGGAATCAGTAAAGCACTACAGACATTGAGCCACGGAACTGTTCAGGAGCACCTTGGAGAGCTGCTGTCATCGTACCGGAGCCGAGAGATCTGAAAACCTTCAATATCTGTGGCAAACCAAGTTGAAAGTAATGATGTTCATTTTCAAGATGACTGTCCGCCTATGACACTGCAGGCCAAACTGCAGGAGGCACAATCACAGCCGTACATGTAAAAATAAACTAACTACTAACGCTAGACAGCTATACCAGCAGCTTGTATGCGAACAACAAGTCTGTTTAAAGATAAATTAAAAGAAAAAGAGAAAAATGTGAATTTGAGAGACACGAAGGGCTTTCCTGTCAGTTAGCCGGCTAGCCGGTTTGACAGGCTGCACTTTGCCCATTCCTTCAAAATATATATAACACAGCGGACACTTAAAATCAACGCCCGAAATGCTGTGAAACTGCAAGCTTGACGAGAAATTGAGATTAGCGCCAGAAGATGCTTTTCTTTAATGCGTCTTATTAGTGACAGCTATCCCCAGCCGCGAACCGGGGCTGAGAATTCAGAGTCAGCAAACATCCGCTTAACTTCCGCGCTCTTGTTCAGGAAACATCGCGGCTGTCGTACAGGCCTGTGGGAATAGCATTCAGCATGCTAATGGGCTACCGTACCGTTCGAGATGAGCTTGGCCGACAGCTGCCGCACCAGCTCAGGGATCTTGTCCCACTGCCCTTCGGACCGGCAGCGCTCGATCTCCGTCTCCAGCCGGGAGCCGGACTTCCTCGCCGTCATGTTTCTCCGGACCGCAGCAAAGCTGGGGAGCCAGAAGACGCCGAGGAAAAGTGGTGCAGCGCCGGGGAGGAGAGAGGCGAACAGCGACACCGCGGGCAGCCCAGGCGACTTTAATGGACATGCGAAGGGGCGCTGCTGTTGGACCGCTACCACGAGCGGAGGACTTCACGTTCTCGTCGCACCAAACCTGCGTGCAGCCTTGCCCGTACTAAAAGTACACTTCATCACCCATTAAATGGATATACAAATGGCTAGCAGTTTTTAATCATAGTGTTAGCAGGCAGCTTTGAAACGCAGACCAATATAAACCCAGACTGTGAGCAGACATTTTATCACCGTTTATCATCCTATTACTAACCAGTCACTAGTGCATAAAAATATATGAATTTAAACACTGAGACTCCAAGTATACTTTGAGATTGTTTTGCTTTGAATACTATATTAGCTCCACGTCGACTGTGCAAAATGAAACGGCACATGTAATACGCCCCAAGAAATACCTAAACTTGAACGCACACCATGATTCTTTTGCGAGAATACTGCTACAACCATTCAGGTCTTGCTGTAGGTCAACACCCCCATGATGGATCAGCACCCCCTCCCGTGTCCCCCATTTCCCGCGACAAGCTCTAGGTTCATCGTTATCCTATACTGGAGGAACAGTTATGGAACACAGATACATAGATTGATGCACATCAGCACACTGATTATATTTTTTAAACCAATATTTTTTCTGTACATGCTCACTTTACTAACAGAAAAGGGAAAGCATTCAAACATACAGGACAGGATATGTATATTACAAAAATAAACAGTACAGAGCCCAAAATCTCTAGAGATCAAAGCAACATCACCTTCACAGGATATTTTTACAGGGAATTAAATTCCACAAACCTTTATTCACACATCATTTCATAAACAACCAGGTCACACCACCCCCTCATAGAACAATGACTCAAGCAAAATTCATGTTTAATACTGCTGTAGAGAAAGGTTACATACCCAAAACACAGTCAATAACCATGACCATTTATGATGATGAAAAAAAACACAATACACGAGAAGACTGACACTAATGGTCCAGACACAAAGGTACTGAGATCCTACATTTATGGGAAAAGATCAAAAAACCCATCGGTCCATCTGCTGATATTCCAGCACAACATCACCTCACAATGTCCCCAGAACATTTTCTCTTTGGCTTGGGTTGAAGCAGCACATTCTGGTCTCACTCTGCCCTAACAGATAAGCGGATCTCTCTGATATGCATGCTGTTGCACATTATTCACATCGGCAAGTAAGTTAAACCACTTTCCTACATATACACATTTTGGACAGGCTGCCAACTTTACCACTTTATATAATTTATTGTGAGGTTAAAATGCTGTCTGACCACTGGATTCCGCAGAAAAGAGGCATCCCAGTCAGAGCTGACGACATGAACATGAACTCCTGCCCTGTCACATTCCACAGCAAATAACAAGCAGATGGCCAGATGGGGGCAGCACACACATAAAAGAGACACCACTGCAGGCTGGTGAGCTTCTCCCTTTTTCAATTTCCTTTTCCTGTTTAGGATGAAAGTCAGAACAAGCCTACTGACCATGTGCAGTACACTCACATTCTGGTAAAGGCAGCTGAATCTCATTCCTTCTTACACCATGCTCTAGTTAAACCATCCCTTTCATCTCTCACTCTAATTAAGGAGAGTATTCTCCATCAACACTCAGCAAACACATGAAAGCTACAGCTCATGGGTGTTTGACAGAATTAGGCCAAGCGCTTGGTAGGGACTCATCTCAGCTTTAAAATGCCAGTCTTTTGAACGCAATATCTGTAAAACAGCACTCTTCAGAGGTCTGTGAGAGATGGGCCAGGGTGGGAATCACACATGTTTGATGGTGTATTTGCCCTTTTGGAGCTGCGAGATGTACAGCTTGGATTTGCTGCCATCAAGCCGTTTGAACCAGACCTCATCGTGGTTGATGGTAGTTATTGTGGCGCTGCGGGACAGAAACACATGTCACAGAGAGACTATGTACTCATCCCTGATACATGGACTATACCCAACCAAACAGATCACAAACCCATGCCACGCTAACCAGACCCATCCCCATATACAGATCACACATACCAATGACCCATCCCCCCGACAGTGACCAATCACGTGCCAGTCCCACTCACCACCCAACATGAGACAGAGAAGCTGATTGGCAGTCAGATACCTCGTGGGGCACTCGTACTTCCTGTCGATGCATATGGTCTGGCCCCGGCAGTACCACTCGCCGTCGTATAGCAAGCGGCCATTTTCAGATCGGGCCTTGTGCTGATGTCGCTCAGGCTTGGAGAAGGATGGAGGTTTAGTGGGTACGCTGGATTCCGTCTGGACAGCTGGACCGGCAAGGACCATCGTCATGGGAGAGTGGACAGGCACCCAAGGGCATGAAACGGACCATGAGAATCAGACAGGCCAGCCCCCAATAGGTCAAAGAGGTCACAGCCCATAGGTAGTATCCTACAGACTCAAGAAAACCTATAGATTCTGCACTCTGCCAGATGGTACTATACAGCTGAATGCTGATGTGAGCCTTTCACCAGACCTGTGGGTTGTATTCTCTTTAAAATTACTGCCCTTTATGTGACTCATAAACGCCCTAAGACAATTACAATAACTAACTCTGAAACACTGAAAAAGGGGACAGAGTGTCACTTTACCATCTGTTTTTACTCTGTGGGGTCCGAGTGAGGCGACAGCCTGTAAAAACAGACAAACAAATAAATAAAGTGAACACATTCATCTTGTTAATTTCCATAATTCAAATTTGAAGCCAAACACCTTTCTGATCGTGGTCCAGTCCTCGAGGATGTCCAGATCCTGTAGCATGTAGACGATATATGGGCGTGAGAGAGTTAAAGGCAAAGCCATTTGCAATGTTTGGCTGACAGAGCTCCTAGTGTCATTGACTGTGACAGAGCAGCGCCATCCTGTGGGAGACCGAGAAAACATAACAGAAGGAAGCTAGCAGATCCGGGTCATTCCTCCGGTGACACCAAAGAAGGATATCAGACACGACCACAGGCTTCTTCTTTTTGTCCGGGCTGAACGGGTCCTTCTTCTTGTTCTTACGGGACTGCAGCTCATCGTTCCACAGTTCTGAAAGTCAGCATGACAAAAGAAGGCACCAGTGATTATGCCCCAGTCGTGCTTGGAAGATATGGCCTACAGCGTGAGCAAAAGGGAGAAAAACCACTGCAGATTTACAGTGAAGAGATGCGTGGCCCCGTACCCGAGGTAACGTCGATGCTGTGCCGGTCCTCCTCCAGCCTCCGTATCTTCTCCTCCAGCTCACTCTGCACTGTGTCAAACAGGAGCAGCTTCTCACTCTGTGGACACAAGGAGCCGGGGTCACATGACAGCCAGTAAAGGGGAGGAGCTCCCACAGTGGGTGGGCCCCTTACCTCCCAGTGCTGCAAGGCGGCCTGGATCTCACACTCATATTTGTTCTTCACAGACTCCAAACACAGCTCCTTGTAGATGCCTAAATATGGAAGACAATAACAATGACTATCACATGACCCAAACTTTCCAGGAGCTGATGCTTTATCACTTGAAGATCCCAACACACACCCCAAAAGCAGCAGCCAAAGCTGCCTGCACCCCCAGCCAGCCGAACACGCATTCCCATCCTCACCGGCCACTTTTGTTCTGATTAGCATGTTCTCCTGCAGGTTGGCCAGGGGCTCTAGGTACTCTGGTGCCTTTCCTGCCATCACCTCCTGCAGTTTAGCATCCACTTGTGTGATCCTCTCTTTATACAGTCTAGGAACAAGAAAACCCGGTCACAGCTACCGAAGCGAGAACCCGTTCATAAAACACTCTGGAAGGAGAAAGAATGGTGTGATAAAGGACGCAAAAACAGGAAATCTTACTGGTCTTTAAGGTCAGTGAATTGTTTTTCTAAATTAGTCATTTCATCCAAACATTCCATTCTTCTCCTTTCATAGTCCTCATCGTCCATCTCTACACGTGGGGAAAAAAAACATTGGACATCAGTCATGGAGTTTTTAAATTTTAAGTTGACACCACTATAGCATGCGCAAACATCGCTACCTCAACGTATTTGTATCATGTGGACCTTCGTATTTTGGAACACAACCCATTAACACAACCTAGTTAACCTGAAATATTGGTGGAAGGTTTTCAAGTAAAAATAAACCTTTGCATATAAAAATGCGTATAGCTAGTTTATGTTACCGGCTCATTAATAACCAGGGGAATGCAGAATAACACCTGAGCTATCTCCGTCCTCAGACACGGTAGAGCTGTCAGTCTCCTCCTCGTCGGAGCTGCTGCCGTCCTGCTCCGGATAATCCAGCTCCATCTCCGCATGGTTACTTTCTCTCTTTTCGCGGGAATGAACCGGCATTGCCCAGCCGCCAAAGGGGCCCGATCAGTACCAAGCTGGTTGGATCAACAGAACTACCTAGCCAGAAACAACCGAAGCAAACGGCACTTGACTTCGTTAATAGACCAGGTTGTAGTTAAGCCAAAGGAATAACTATTTAAGATAGCAACGCTGGCATTTACACAAGGCTGCTATGTGAAAGCGCTACGTAGGTAAGTCAGCGGAGTGCCTAACCACCAAAGGTAAGTGATCCGATATACGTTATTTGCAATGGACCGAGTAGGTAGTTATCTAGATACTAGAGTACTTAAGTCAAAACAAATCACCTGCCGCAGCTAGCCTATTTGGCTAACTAACTGACAAGAAAGCAAAACTGTCAAACTCGCAAGGAGATAACAGCCGTATCTTTCAACTGAACGTAAACTAGTTAACCTTCATATATTCCTTTAGACACACACGGCGGCTAAATTAACGTTTTCAGATTAGAGCAAAGTCGTGCTCGGCTAAAAGCTAAGCGACTACCGACCGCGTAAAGGTAACTGACTGGCGCGGAATTTGCGTTTTCCGTTTGCATGGGTATTGTAGTTCTATTGACGAGGCGCTAAAATTGGTGTAGAATTAGAAACGAGTGATTGAACTACACTTCCCGAAATCCACTAGTACTTCAAATTTTACGGCTCCCAGTTCAACAGCAGATACATTTTATAGGCCATATAATCGATTAGAGAACAACGGTATCAACACTGACAAGATGTCTTTGGGGACACAGCTGAACATAAAATGTTATGAATTCGTGTACCTTGTTAATTACAAATTACGTCTTTTGCTCCAATATATGGATCACGGCACTATTCAAATGGGTTTTACTTAACTTTGTTTTATCGTATTTAATCACATTACCCAATTTACCGTACCTCATACAGCGAACGACTGTATATGTTAATTTGGACACCCCTAACCTGTCCGCATATTTGGCTTGCGTAGCCTCCATGCGTGCTTTCCGCCCCCTCCCTCCTTGTTCGAAGTTGGATTGCTCTGGGCTAGATTAAGTGGCTCCTCCTGCCTGGATTCCGCCATGTTCGGGTCTGGTCTGTTTTGGGGAGTGGGGTTTTGAGCGCTACGCTGGAGCACACATTTCAGCTCAGCTTGGCGCAAAATGTGCGCCTGTCCGTGCCAGTCGGATATCCATGTGCATATTGTGACGAAGAGGGGGCCCTAAGTGTGCGTACTGCTCTGTGGTCAAGGGACCGGACACCGTGCGCCCAGGAAACCGTGTTTTGACGACCCGACAGGGGCTCGCTGCCCTCCGAGCCCCGCTCGCCGCCGGTATGTTTTCCAAAAAACCCCATGGTGATGTGAGGAAGTCCACGCAAAAGGTGCTGGACCCGAAGAAGGATGTGCTGACACGCCTGAAGCATCTGCGGATAGTGATCGGTGAGTATGAGAGGTCGGCTGACGGTGCCGCTTATAGCACAAGAGGCAGGTGGCTCCAATCCCAACATTGCAATTAAACCCCAAGGCTAATTGCTCATCCGCACGAGATAATAATAAAACACGCCAAGTTTCCCCGTCAAACGCAGATGTAGGATGGCTGGTTCACGCTAGCGTCATATTTATCTGGTATAAGGACATAGGTGTTATCAGCTGCATCATTATCCAGTAATAATAAACAACATAACTGTACTGTTGAGGTTGTTTGAGGGCGATGCAAGGATATGCAGTAGCTCGCCAGCAAGTTGGAAGTTGCTGTTATTGTGTGTGTGCGCGTTCAAATGTCCCTGGCCTGCTTTCTGTCGGAATCAAACATCCGGGAGGGGTGCATGAGTTAAACGTCCTTTAATGAGTGAAAGTGTGAACCATTTGTTGTGCTGAGCATCATTTACACAAGTGATTAAGACCCGCAAAGCTGCGAATACACTGGGGTAGATTTGTCCTGGATTAATCACAGTAACCACCTGGAAATAAAAAGTCACTTTTGCAGATTCTACTGGGCCACGAGTTATTAGCCGATAGCCCCGCTAGTCGGTCTCACATCGCTGATGGCCATTTCTGTTTACACTGTGCCATGTTTGTGCTGTGAGGCTATGCAGTGCCATGTTTGTGCTGTGAGGCTATGCAGTGATATGTTTATACTGTCGCTTGAGACCCGACTTGTCCGTACTTTTGTGAAAGCTGGAAAACTTGAACCACCATTAACATTTCTGGGAGCTGTCATCCATAACAAGTATCTTATATGACTGAATGTCCCATAGGCTTGCTATATGCTCTCACAGAGCCTAGATGTGTTGCTAGGAGGGAGATGATTGGCTGGTACTGCTTCAGGGCTTTGTGTGGCTGATGGAACGAGTCGGGGTGAATAGCTTATGAGGTGATGTGGAAAGGCAGCTAGTCTGATGAAGCGGTTTTCTGTGTCATGTGACTGGGCTCCGGCTTTAGTCATGGCTCTCTGCTTGGCTGGGGAGCAGACTCTGACTGTAATAACATTCTTCTGTTTAATCAAGCGATTGTCAGCAACACAAGTAACAAACCTCTGGCATGGATGGAGAATGGGCAAATGCAGAGTTTGTTTGGACAGTGAGCAGGCTGGGGTACAAGAATTGTCACTTGAGGTGTGGAAAGGTTTTGTTTTCGAGTCTCAAGAAGACAATGTTGTTGTACTTCCCAGTGTTCAGTCTTTTTGGATGCCTAATGGTGTGAAATGATGTTTCAAGTTTAGTTTGGGGGGCAAAAAAGTCCATTCTTAGCATCAGGGATATGGAGTAAGTGTGTATCTCAGAGATGATTTCATTGCTTCTCCGCCTGGCAGGAATGCAGGAAGGGAAGCTGTGCAGTGAAACCATGGGGCGTGCCTGCTCTGTGAGGGATCAGGCGCTCCAGTGTAGGGCGTGCCTGCTCTGTGAGGGATCAGGCGCTCCAGTGTAGGGCGTGCCTGCTCTGTGAGGGATCGGGCCCTCTGGCGTAGGGCGTGCCTGCTCTGTGAGGGATCGGGCCCTCCGGTGTAGGGCGTGCCTGCTCTGTGAGGGATCGGGCGCTCTGGCGTAGGGCGTGCCTGCTCTGTGAGGGATCAAGCGCTCTGGCGTAGGGCGTGCCTGCTCTGTGAGGGATCGGGCCCTCCGGTGTAGGGCGTGCCTGCTCTGTGAGGGATTGGGCGCTCCAGTGTATCATCCTCCAGTCAGGGATGTTTTGGGATTCCAGGGGTGGGATGGGACTCTCCGGCTGAGATGTCTAAAGTGGCTGCAGCCTCAGGGTCACTCGCTTTGCATGTGTGGAGTTTGCATGTTTCCACAGGGTGCTTCTGTTTTTATTTACGTTTTGTTTTCCCCTTCGATGCTGTCTCGGTGTCTCAATAACTGCAAATTGCCGTTTGTTTGAGCATTTGATTGTTGTAGCTCTGTGAGGGATCGGGCGCTCCAGTGTAGGGCGTGCCTGCTCTGTGAGGGATCAGGCGCTCCAGTGTAGGGCATGTCTGCTCTGTGAGGGATCGGGCGCACCTGTTACACACTAGGGCTGCATGATTCTGAAAAAAATGTGAATCACAATTTTTTTTTTTTTTTGCTTACCACTGAGATCATGATTCTTTGTAACGATAAGAATAAGGTAACATTCCTCCTCCCCTTTCACAGGCGACTTCAAATGCTCCGCAGAAGAATATCTGATGGGATGAATGAAATAAACGTGATTGGCAGATTCAGATGGTGCAGGCTAAAGTTGACCAACTGGGTGGACAGAACAGAAATTTGGGAGGGCATTACCTACCCTTGCCCACTTGTACATCCGGCCGTGGGGCGTACAGCAACTCATTTTCAGTCCTGTTATTTGTACCTCTTTTCAGTCACAGAGCACTTTATTTTGAGCCTTGATTAAGCCAGAGAAGATCCTGTAACTTAGTGCAGTTTTGGGGAAATTTAAAGTTTACCGATTCCTTTTATTATGAAAATACTATTCTGCATTGAAGATAAGCTGATTTTTGCTTGTAAATGCTGTCAATTATAATTCTTAGAAAGCAAATCAGAATCAGCAAAACCGGTACTGGCAGGTCACACTAGCAAAAAAAAAAAAAACGGAAATCGGCCAAGAAAATTGCAATCAGTGCATCTCTAGATTTTTACGATTAATTGTGTAGCAATATTACACATTACACACTGCATCCCAAAAGGCATCCCAGCTGGTTACTGAGGATGGATGGATGGATAAATAATGGATTCTAGGTGCTTCTTTAGTCAGTGACCAAAACTGTGGAGTTTTCCTTCTGAACATTGGCTGCTGCTATTGGCTGCGGCTTCCATACACATTCTGGGCTTGAAAGGTCCATGGTTTCCTGCAGTTCCGACTCCGTGGGTGAGTTGGCCGCACACACCGTACTGTGGCCATCAAAGTGAGCCTGGATGAGCGGTGCCGAAGGCGGCGCGAGCGTAGCGTGTCGCATCGCTGTTTTTGTAGTGCAGCGTTCTCCGTGCTCCGTGCTCACGGGCCCCAGGTTGGGAGGAGTACCCAAGGCGAGCGGCAGGAAGCCGCCTATGTGGAATGTGTAAACATTAGCTTTAGGAAGCGCCTCGGGCTTCGCCGGGCCTTCCCGCTCCATCTGATAGCGCGGATCGCTTTGTTCCACCTCAGGACAGGATGCCGCAGCGTACGTCAAATGCTTCAGCCTTCCCCAAGGCCTCTTCCCACACCGCACACAGTCTCAGGCCACACTTGCTAAATGCAAGGAAAGCAGGAGATCGTCACCAATCCTGTTCCCAGGTGTCCCTCGAGATTTGGGAGCCCTTATGTTTGGGGATACTTGATTTACATCAGACAGTAATATGGGGGGGGGGGGTGATCTGCTGTACTGGCATCTATCAAATAGAGGTGTGAGCCCACTGGGGCCCGCCTCGATGGTGACCCAGGTCAGCTGGGCAGTTTTAGTGGAGCTGATTGGCCGTTTGATGGTGAAGGGGGTCTAGTGTGCTTTAAGTGATTCCAAGGTTTCCCTATCCATAGGCCCTTTATGCAGGCCCTTAGATCTCCAGGAGGGCATTTCTGAAGCCTCCCAGGGCCATTTGGGGGGGGGGGGGTCTTCATCCGTGTCAGCCCAGTTCTATTTGCTTGCCTGTAGTTGCATCACTGCCTGGTGGCTGGCAGATCCTCCCTCATTCAGCCTGAGCTTGGCGGCTTTCAGCTTGCTCCTTCGTGTGCTGGCCTGAAGGTCTCAGGTGAATGGCCCTTTGGGGAGGGGGGAGGGGGGGCCGGTCTCTCCTGCAGTCTTGGTTGCTCTGCTCAGATTGTTTACCTGTGATCAAGAACAAATGACATGCCCCCGTTCGCTCATGCGGGACTCGCCGCGGTTCCAATGCAGTCTGCCCCATTAAGGCATTTCCTATGCTTTTCCCGTTACAGAAAATTCTGAATCGGTCGATCTGAAGCATTTCTTTGAGCAGAACTACTCCCATATCTATTACGTATTCTTTGAGAACTTCGTGACGATCGAAGCCAGCCTGAAACAGAAAGGTAAGCTCAGGTTCTCCCCACAACAAACTACATCCCCTTTAGCACGCATTACTTCTTGATGTCTTCTACACTATTGGTCAAAATTGTGGAAACACTTCTAATTTTTAGAGATTGCTGAAGTTTATTCCAGTTACTCCCCTTACTTAATAGTCTAATGTATATTTGTAAACATTCTTTGATTACTTATAAAAATTACTGCCAATATTCCTGTAGTAATTTCTAAAGTGTAATATGCTGGGTGTTTCCACAATTTTGGCCACTGATGTAGCTGAACCTGGGAATCTACCTTCCTCTTTAATTCATGACCTTTTTCTATGTACTGCCTCTATGAGGACGGTAATATGGTAATGATTTGCAAACAATAATTGGGGGAAAAAACAAGGAAGCATGAGAGGTGAGCAAAGGGAAATTACAGAGAGAATGAGAACAAGAATCTATAAAGACTAACGGCCCATGTGAGTCACAGACAAAAGTAATCAAAGACAGAGGTTAACAAGGATTAGAAAGGTGAGGAGCATTATATGGGGAATCTGTGATTTGATTACCGCGAATACCGCATTAGAAGGGTGTAAAATCAGTGTTGAAAAGGCTGTTACTCCATCGCGCTGTAATTTAGCCTAAATTTTTAAACAAAAAGCAGTAAAATGGGATGAGGCCCAGGTGATGCTGGTGACGTCACCGGGTAATTAATGATGGGACATGTGCGTTTACTCCGGTAATCGGAAAGAGAGCAAACAGGAGAGCAGCACGCGGCTGTTGCATCTAATTCTGTTTTGATCCCTGTGGCTTGTACCCTGAATGGCTTTGTTACCGAAATAGCCAGTCCCTCCTGGCCTCGTCCCAGGCTTAGGGTTAGGCGAGGCCCATAAGCTCTTAGCAGCTTTTAGCCATTAGCCTGCTAGCGTGAGGCCAGAGATGGCCAGATGTGTGTTTTTCTCATTAACGGCAGTACGGAGTTGCTGTGTTTACAGTGTCCTCCCTGCCTGTGTTCCAGGTCACAAATCGCAAAGGGAGGAGTTTGACTCTATTCTCTTTATATTTGAGGTAAGAGCACCACCCCCCCTCCGGCTGGCCAGGCCCATCCTGGGTCACAGTCAGACATCGTACACTGTTATGTGTAAGGTTAGACGGGCCTTGTGACATCACGGGCTGCCTATCGGACTCCTTATCCGATTCCGTTCTTCTCATGCCGTTTCCTTCTTCCATTACTCCGCTTTCCTCCTCCTCTCGTTCTCTGTCTCCCTCCCTACTTCCCTGTTTTCCTCTTCCACTCTTTCTCTCTCCCTCTCTTTCACCCTGCTTCCTCCCTCCTCTTTGTGACGCGTGATATTTATAGAGGCTGAAGGCCTTTCAATGCCCATGATATGAGGTGAGCAGCAGGCACCACACAGCACCACTGACGGACGTCAACGCCGACTGCTCCCGGCGGGGTCACTTGCATGTGCTTCCTCAGGCTGCAACCTTGAGGCACTGTTGTGGCTGGAACAGTCACCATTGCAGCTCCCAGTAGCTGTAATGTTCATGTTTAGTGTCATCTGAGGGTGGCAGAGCCTGGGGGGAGGCGGGGCTTCCTTATTCACTTACCCTCTGGCTGTGTTTTTGTCACGTGACCACTCAGCTTGGCCTGGCTGCAGGCTGGGCCCTCACTATAATGAGAACACAGCCCCTTACAGTCACCCTTCTGAAGGACAGCGTCATACTGCTCACATAGCCTATGGAGAGACGGACCTTCAGGTACATTGGACAGAATACTGCAAACCACAAATGCTGTGTAAGAGGCATGCCTATCCCTTGTGTTCCAGAAAATACTTCAGCTGCTCCCGGAGAAAATACAGGGGCTATGGCAGTTTCACAGCATTGGTAAGTATTCTGTCTGTGTCTCCGACCTTCCATGTGGGGGCGCCCTGCGCACACTTGAGTAAGACTCCATTGCTGACTACAGCAGGACATGTTGTATGTTTATTTTTTTAAATCAATATTTTATTGATTTTTGAACACATACAATAAACTGACATAACAGAACTAGACAAGGCAACAGCAAGATAATACAGGACAGTGTAATGTATTACAGAACAAAGTTTTTTTAAAAAAAAAGCTCAATCAGTAAAATAATGATTGCAGTGCCATGACAGAGCAATACAGTAACATGCCATTCAGTCTAGCAAATCAAACCACACGCAGCCCTACATATGCGCATGCCCATCAAAGTCAAATTGCGGCGAAAAACGTTGCATTCAGTTCTGTATGGAAGCATTCCATTGAAAATTTGACCTCCCCCTATGCACTAGATCCTTCGTTTAATTGGATAGATGGTCTAAAATTGGTTTAGTTTATCATTCCCACTAACAATATCAGTAAAGTTCTCTGTCAGAAGTACCTTGTAAATTTCTCCGTACACGTTGCATGTTTTTTCCGTTTCCTTCTGAGTTGGGCTAACTGCGTTAGTCTACTCCGTGCCCTGTCAGGCTGCTCCAGGGGCCGTCTGTGGCCAAGGTGGTCTCTCCTTTCCCGCTGCGAGTAGCGTAGCAGCGGGGTACAAAGACCACCGAGAGTAAGAAGGAGAATGCCAAGGGCCTGGTTACGAGATGTGTCCAGACCTGACCGAGACCTCCGACACGGCCCTGTCTGGCTCCCAGCAGCCCAGGCGATGGTCTATGTCAGCGGCGGCCAATCTTATCCGCAAAGGGCCCGGTGTGCGTGCAGGTTTTTGGGATAACCTTTAGGTCAGCTGTTCAAACCCAGGTGTGAGGACTCCTCAGCCAATCAGTCCTCTAATTAGTAATATAATTAGGGAGCTGCAGCGAAAACCCACACACACAGCGGCCCTTTGCGGATAAGATTGGCCACCCCTGGCCTATGTGAACATCTCTCCTCTTTTCTCACAGGGCTGATCCTGAAAAAGCTGCTCCACAGTGGCAACTCCTTGAAGGTGCGTCCTCTCCACCAACCAGGCTCTACACTCCATCCTACTATACATTAGCTGGCTAATGCTAAACTGCAGACTGTTACAACACATTGAGTTGCTTGCACTAGTTCCGTCACCACGTTAGGTTTAGTTAGTCCACTAATCCAAATCCCTTTCTTTACATCTAATCGTCACATATACAGTATTCAGTCTTTTGCCCAATCATTAGCCTAACACTAAATCTCATGCCGTTACATGCAAGCATCAGTCTAATGCTATGTCTTATTCCATTACACTGTCAGTAGCCTAGTGATAAGCTCTCATACCATAGAATTGTAATTAGCTTAATGCTAAATCTTGCACTAATGCATGAAGTGATTAGCGTCATGCTAACTCTTGTGTGTCACTTGGCGCTAGATTCGGCGGGAAGGCGTGCGCCTCTTCCTGCTATGGATGCAGGCACTGCAGACCAATTGCCAACAGGAGCAGCTCTGGCTGTTCGCCTGTCTGATTCCTGGCTTCCCAGCTCCCATATCTGAGCACGGCCCACGGACACTGGACGGACTGATCAACCCCCCACTTAGCCTCCAGGATAGTAGGTGTTCTCGTTAACTGGTGTTAGTGGTTACCATGGCACCTCCAGACCGAGGGTAGCTTCATCCTTCACTGGTTGCACATCATTTCTTGAGAGATTTGATGTTTGTCCAAAACCTGCAGTACTACTGTTATAAAGGACCAGTGTCAGTCACTCTTGAAGCGGATTCCTTCAAAGGACGTCAATAAGCTTGTCTTCTCTAAACACTAGGGACCGTTTAAGAACGCTGTGCCTTTGGGGTGGATGTCCTGTATTCACTTGGTGTCCTTTAGTTTTTTTCCCCACCTTTTTTTCTACCATTTGTTCTCCCCTCACAGACCAAGTCACTCCTGAAGAGATCAGTCCCCTGGTGTCTCCCCAGTCTGGAGACAAAGGCCAGGAGGACCTCACTGGATATTTCCTAGAAGCACTTTTGAAATACATGGTAAACCAGGTACACGTCTGATTCTTACTAACCTGACTAATGGTTTGTGTATGTATGTGCAAGCTGACCGAGGCTCACATGTCTTGGCTTCACCTGCTGTTGGAACCATCTTTGTGAGATTGTGACATTTCCAAGGGCTCACGTGGGCATCTGCCGTGTCTTTACAGGCTAAGAGTCTGGAGTGGAGATGCAAGGAGAACCACGAGAAGGGCTTCGCCTTTCTGTTCGGCATGTTTAGGAAGTATTACCTCCCACACATCTTCCCGAACTTTGCCAAGGAGACCAGTCTGTTCAACCCGATTCTGGGTAAGAACTGCACTCAGGCTAGTGTGTCTGGCAGGGAAGGCCATTTTCGTTGGGTTGTGTTTTTTATCTTTATTTCTGAATGGAATGAATAACAACATTTGATGGACAAGTCCTCCTGGGCTTTCTTGAAAGAGTCCGTATGTAGAGTTGTATGCATATGGACCATGAGACCACTTACATGGTGACCCCTCTGCCTGTCTCCCAGAGGTTCCACACATGAGACCAAAGCCCCATTACCTCATCGTAAAGCGAGACCAGGAGACCAACGAAGCTGTCTATTGCGTCAAGGAGATGTTCCTGAATGCAAGGGTCATCTTCATTCGCTGGTTGGTGTCCTTCTGGCTAGAGCCCCGTCCCAGCAGTGGGACTCACATCCCCGGGGTGGAAGGAGACAACGTGCCAAAGAACATCCAGGTAGGATGTCTGTCCATAACAGACCGCGCTGGCTCTCTTTCCAGGACTGCATATGTTATCGTCCTTGTCTGTAGACTCTAGAAGCAAATGTGACAAGTGGGAAGGTAGCTTCTGTGCCATGGAAGGAACCCATTCAGCCAAACGTGACATGTCTATGTCCTTCAGAAAGCAGCGGCGGGCCTGGCTGCAAGGGAGGAGAGCGTGATTCGAGGTCCCGATGGACTAGAGGGTGTTGGGGAACCGGAACAGTCTCACTCGAACACCAGCACCCTGACAGAGCGGGAGCCCAGCTCCTCGAGCCTGTGCAGCGTGGATGAGGAGCACCTCACTGACATCGAGGTGCTGCGCAAGGTCTTTTGCTCCTCTAGGACCAACGTGAACTTCATCACCGAGGTGTTCCGACAGGTAGATCCCAGCTGTATCCTCCGCACAGCTAACGTAAGTGGGGGGTCCGTGCAGGAAGCTGAAAGTCTGTGTACCCCCCCCACAGGCCTTCCTGCTCCCCATGTGTGAGGCAGCTGCCATGAGAAAGGTGGTGCGTGTCTACCAGGAGTGGATTTCTCATGAGGACAAACCCATCTTCATGAGGGAGCCAGAAGAGGAGTCATGCCTACCTACTTCAGCCACCGCTTCTAACGGGGACCATGCTGATTCTGGACAAAATCTGGAGAGGGAGGAGGTGAGGTGGTTGAATTGAGAGCAGACATGGAGAGGGTGACCTACACACTGCTGAGAGTTTGCACACTGTCCTGCCAGAAGAGAAATTAATAATGAACACAATGACCTTGGGCCTGTTGAGAAGATGCCTTGCTCCTTTCATGACTTCTTCAGGGTGCTCTGAATGACGTGACTGTGTCTGTTTGCAGGACAAAACACTGAAAGGCTCCAACGGCGGCAGAGACTCCAATTGGGCACACAGCTCATCCTATAAGGCAGTAGAAGAAAGTGTGTGTGCAGGAATGCAGGCCAATTTGCAGGTAGCTACTTTTCTGAGCTGTTTTAGGACACATGCTGGATGCAGTCCTCTAACACGCCACTGAGCCAAGCTCTCTGTCCACCTTCAGGTCTTTATCACCAACTCTTCCAACGTCTTCCTCTTGGAGCCAGCCAACGACGTGAAGGTTCTCTTGGAAGAGCATGTTGATATGTGCAAGCGTGTCCTCAATATCTACCGCAGCCTGGTCATGCATGAGACCATGGACCAGAAAACCTGGTACTGGCCATCCGCACATGCAAATGTCATGAAGGTCACGGCTTCTCACTAGGAAGAGCTAACTGATAACCAGGCCTCACCTCACCTAAATAGAGTACCTTGTCCTCAGAGGTGGAAAGTACAGGTCCAGAAAATAAAAATTGATACATCCCTGTGCACACAGAGTGGTAGCCATAAAGCCTGAACTTACGTAAGCGTCACACAGTGATAACACAAACTGCTAATCTGGACTTGGTCGGACAGACATGCTAGTGGATGTAACAGCATTGTAACTTACACTGCTCATGGGCTGCAGTCACACACAGTCAGACGGACAGACAAAGCAACAATGGCTGATCTTGACGTCTTCTCCCAGGGAGCAGATCCTGCTGGTGCTCCTCAGGGTGACAGAATGTGTGATGAAAAAGCCGCCGTCCATCATGCCCCATGGGAAGAAGAACTGCAGTCTTTCTGGGAGGCTGGCAGGGGCAATCTTTCAGGTATCGTGGGGGGGGGGGGGGGGAAAGCATGCATCACTTCTGTAGACATGTGATGACACCTTATCACAGAGAGCAGAAGTAACGCTAAAGTTTAGGCATGTGTAGAAGAGTAGGAGAACCTGATTGACATCCAGTTTCTGTAGGGCAGCATTGACTGTGGTTGACTTGTGCCCTCTGTGTATTACGTATGAGTCTTATTGTGCCATGTGGGGACCTTCCCAGTGGGGTTGGGGCCTGGCGTTCCTGAATCGTACCCCTATTCCCGCAGACGCTGATTGTGGCCTGGATTAAAGGCAACCTAAACGTGTACGTCTCACGCGAGCTGTGGGACGAGCTTCTCCAAGTGCTGTCCTCCCTTACCTGCTGGGAGGAGCTGGTCACGGAGTGGTCCCTCACTATGGAGACCCTGACCAAAGTGCTGGCGCGCAACCTGTACAGCCTGGACCTCGGCGAGCTACCCCTGGACAAGCTTAGCGAGCAGAAGCAGAAGAAGAATAAGGGCAAAGGTGCTGCGCCGTGCCGGGCTGAGGCAGGGTGGGTCATTGCGGTGAACCATTGAACTTAATGGCTGAATGCCACCACTAGGAGGCGCTCATGAGGGACAGAAGCTATCAGTGGATCGGTCCTTCTCCAAGGGCTGGAGCCGCGACCCGCCGGGACAGGTGCTGATGCGGCAGCGTAGCGCCACCACGGCCGGCTCCCCGGGCATCGAGAAAGCCCGCAGCATCGTCCGGCAGAAGACTGTGGGTGAGCAGCCAAGGCGTTAGCAGTTAGCGGTTTAAGTGTGTGGTGCAGAGGCAGCTGGCAGGATCTGGAAGATGACAGCAAACCACACCACATAATACTAGTGCACTTAGGGTGTGAGTAACAGGTTATCAGAAAGGCAAGGCTCAGGACTTAATGATGTAGTTTAATGTATGTTGTTTTGTCCCTGCTAAAGAGCTCCTTTAAGGACAGAGAGTGGCTGGCCTTTGGCCTCTGAGCAGAGCCGTGATGGACACAGACGGAGGCCAGGCAGAAGCCTCCCACAGTGCCGTCCGCCTGCCTTCTGTGGCCCTTCTCTCTGACTAACGGTCTCACGTCTGCCTTGCGTGTCTCTTCCTCACTTTCTCTCTCCCTCTCTGAAGCGCTGCGGAGCTGCTCCACAGGCGACAGCCTCCTGTCTTCAGCCTTTATCCGCAGTGCTAAAAGCGCCCCAGTTCTGATCCACCCTCTTCACCCTCTCCTGCCTGATTCTGTCCTCACTCCCCTAGCTGACGAGTTGTCAGGTAGAGCGCCCTCTGCTGGTAGCTACGTGTCACCGCATGCCTTCCCTGTCTGTTTTGTTTTTCTCCTTTGCTTTCTTTTGGTATGCGTTTGACGTGTCTCTCTGCATGTGCCTTTGTGTTGTGCGCTGCCTGTATTCTCTTGGAAATGCCTAACCGTGGGTCCATGCTGTCCCATGTTGGCCACCTCCGAATAACATCTCTCCTTGTCTGTTTCGGTTACGGACAGTGATGAAGCTGTCTGGTGAGATGCTTGTTGGATGTTCGGCGCCCACTTTCCTCTCCATTTTCGTTTGCTGTGGATTTTGGTTTGCACTGCTGGAAAATTGCCATTGAAGGCATAACATTGGTGCCCCCCCCCCCGTGACCCAATCTTGTGATGTTTTTCTCAGATCTGGAAGACCCTCCCATCACCGTCCGTGGTCCTCGCACTCGGCACTTCTCCCAGGGTGAGAACACGCCCCCCTCGGAGGTATTCTCCGCCCCCGGCGAGGAGCAGCCCCTCCCCCGCAGCAGCAGCACCTCAGACATCATGGAGCCCTTCATCACCGAGCGGGTTAAAGGTGCCCTCCCTGTCCCCGACAGCCCGTCACACGCCACTCTAGACGTGGGTGATAGCATCTATGACCATCTGTGCCAAATGGGGGGGTCTTCAGGGGGGCCCCCGGCCAGGCCTGTGCCTAGCCTGCCCCCCCAGGGTGAGGCAGGGGAGGGCTGGGGGGACGAGGAGGAAGAGGAGGAGGAAGATGATCTGCTGGCCTCACTCAGAGAGTACCTGCAGCTGAGTGGGGTGGGGGACAGTGAGCAGGCAGAGGAGCCCGATGCTGACAGGGCTGTGGCAGAGCGGGGGGGGGGCTCAGACGGTGCGGACACAGACGAGGGCAGCCCCGAACCGCCGGAGCCGCCTTCCTGCTCAGAGCAGTGTGCCGGGGTGGGTGTGGCCTTGCTCAGACAGGAAACCGGTGACTGTGAGGCCGATCTGCTCCCCCAGGGGCCTCGCCCTCTGGGCCCCAGGCCCCTCAGGCCACGCCTGGGCCGCGGAGGGGTCCGGAAGCGACTTCGGGCGCCGCACGTGAGCTTCCGTCCCTCCACCGAGTCCGTGCAGTTCCACAACCCTCCAGAAGCCAAGGAGGCACCTTGGAAGACCCGGCTGCGCAGGCTGGGCCACTTCAGCGGGGGCGGGTCCGGCCACGCCCTCCCAGGGGCGGGGCCTCAGTGCGGGGACCCTCTGTCAGATCGGGAGGCGGCGTTCTCACGCAGGAGGCTGGTGCCTCGATCCAGGCCCCGCAGCCAGGAGGCGGGGTGCAGCCCCGGGCAGCAGCAGCAGGGGGCGCTGGGTGGGGTGTATAAGTGTGTGGTCCATGCTCTCTCCAAGCCCAAGACGCACACGTCCCCCCCGCGGCAGAGCAGGCCCGCGGCCGAAGCACCGCTCAGGGAGCTCTACTCGCATGTTATGGGCTATTTTGGAAGGAAAGCAGCAGGTGAGGACCCCCGACCCCCCCGCCTCGCACCGGGGACGGACAGCGTCTCTCTGCTCTTCCTTCCCAGTTTTTTTCCTCTTTGGTTTTTCGCTGAATGCCGGTCGACTGTAAAGCTTTCCATAGAGAAACGAACCCCCCCACCCCCCCCTCCCTGCCTGCCGCCAAGGACCTCCGGCTTCCTGAGCTTCTGTGGGACATAATCTCTGCTTTTTCCAGACCCCCCCCCCCCTTCCACTTGGATGCTGCATGTGGTCTCACAGCTCCCTCCCAGCCACCTAACCCCGAGACGTGCAGCCTTAGCCCAGGACGCTTACAGTTACAGGGTGGGTTGCGGAGTGAGACAGCTGAAATAGAGGATAAAATGGAGGCAGGTATGCCAGCAGGTCTGCTTCACCCTCCTCTGGCCCCCTCCCCCTTTCTTTCAGACCATGGGTCGACTTTTTTGTTTTTTTTTTAGCCTGCACACTTCCTAATTTATGTTTAGGGCTGCAAAGCAGAGTTTGGCCAGCAGAGGGCAGAGCTCACCCTTAAAAGCTGTCGGATGAGAAGCGCTCTTGTCACAGAATGATGTAAATACAAGCTTAGTGGAGGGCACAGGCTGACCGCTGACTCCTGAGCCTCTGGCTTGGCCTTATTCCCTTTCTGTGTACAGAAAGCTGTATCACTGAATATCTGGGCCATGCCAACAAAAATTTACAGTCCAGGATAGATTTGTTAACTGTGTTAACTACCAGTGGCTCTTGGCTGTTACTGAAGCTGGAGACAGCGAGGACGACTCGGTGTCGTGTCTGTGTGGGTCCAGACAGGAGCGGCAGAGACTCACCCCGTTATAGAAATCAGTCCTTCTGAAGGGTGATGGACTCCTTAGGAGAAGCGGGACTTCCTATCTGCAGACTGCGAGCGACGCCTTTCTCTCTCTGCTTCGGGGAGCCATTCCTAACAGACTCACAGCCGCCCTCCTGCTTAACGGCCGTTTGGCAGTGGACCGACTAACCCCGTCTCTGCCCGCCCGCCCGCTGTCCGGAGGAAGCATGGTGTGTCCGTATCCCCGCATCGGCGGCTGCCCGGCTGGATGGCCGCTTCCTCCCCACTGATTCTTCTCAGTCGTCGGCCGGAGAGTGTTTGTGTCCATAGCTCTGCCGTCTCGCTGACATTCCTGGCTTTCGTACGTGGGGGGGGCGGGTGGGGGGTGGGTGAAGGATACCTATTTTGACAAAGGAGTTTGATGCTGTACAGCCCCGGCAGAGTGTGCACACAGAGACCGGCCTCACGGCGTTTACCGGCCTGATCGCCAGCCAGGCGGTTCCCTGACCCCAAGCCCTTTTCCATCTGTCTTTCTGGGTCCAGCCACCAAAGAGGAGCTGGGCCAGAGCCTGAGGGCAGCCTCCACGGACACAGGCAGCAGCAACCCAAACATCAGCGACATGATGGATGAGTTCATCCAGGAGCGTTTGCGGGCCCGGAGCACCGCGGTGAGTCGCGGTCCGCTAACGATCCGCTCTGGCCAGCACGACGTCATACCCCATCTTCTCTGTTCCTGCCTCTCTAGCCCGTTAATGAGCACGATTTTAGCATGTGATTATTTGCAAACAGTGGTCCGCCTGGACTCTTCCGCGAACTGGCCCTGTTGTCCCCATCTGCACAGGCCATCACCCGGCGGGGGAGCAGTCCCGGCAGCCTGGAGATACCCAAAGACTTCCCGGACGAGCTGACTCGACAGGGTGCGGCGACGCGGCCCGTCGACGACCCCGGCGTTCCCTCCGAATGGACGTCGCCGGCGAGCGGCAGCGGCAGCGACCTTATCAGCTCCGACAGCCATTCGGACTCCTTCAGCGCCTTCCAGGAGGACTGCTGCAAGTTTGAAAGTGAGCCCCCTAGAGGCCAGAGTGGGAGTGGCCGGTGGCTTGATCGGTTTCCTGCCTGAGCTTACCTGCTTGAATGCATATACGCATGTGTACGCCTGTACTGATGAGGTTGCACTGGGGGCCAGATTTCAGCTTCGGCCCCGAGGCGTGCACCATGGGCTCCCTGGAGCAGGACAGCCCGGCCGCCCAGGCACAGATGGCTGAGGAGCAGGAGCTGGCCAGCCTCACTACTCTGCACATCGACTCGGAGACCAGCAGCCTGAGCCAGCAGGGCCAATCAGCTGACACCGCCACCATTACGGGTGGGTTTGTGTGTATATGTATGTGAGGGGGGTTGGGGAGTGTTCGTGAGGCCCATCCTCTCAGTAGTTAACACCACGCACCAATATGTCCCCCCCCCCCAGGCTCAGAGAGTGCCTCACCCGCACAGTCCCCCCGGGGGTCCCCCTCCCAGACCCCCTCCCCCGCAACCCTCACAGAATCTATAGAGCACAGAGAGCTACAGCTGGACCAGAAGATGCACCACTCTGTCCTGCAAACCCCTGATGACCTGGGTGAGATGGCCCTGTGGATGCACCACACACACACGCACACACACACAGCCTCTGAGGGCAAGTAGAAAGTACTAATGGTTTGTTTTACCCTGAGGGAGGCAGGCAGACGGATATTTTACCAGAGAGAATGAGAGTGAAGCAGGTGTTTTACCCTAAGAGAAGCAGGCAGGTGTTTTACACTGAGAGGCAGGAAGGCAGGTAGGTGTTTTACCTGAGAGAGAGAAGGATAGAGAGGAATGTATGTTTTATCAAAGACAGAGGGTAGAGCGGGTGTTTTACCTGAGTGAGAGAAAGAGGAATGTGTGTTTTATTTGAGAGAGAGAGCAAAGCGGGTGTTTTACCTGAGGAGAAAGAGTGGAGTGGGTGTGAAGTAGTTTTTTCTGAGAGAGAAAGAGAAACAGGTGTTTTTACCTGAGAGAGAAGCAGGTGTTTTACCTGAGAGAGGCTGGAGAGCTTTTTTTACTTGAGGGTGTTTAAACTGATTCTCCAACACCCTCCCCTGTGCAGAGACCAGCGAATTCCCAACAGAAGACTGCAGTGTGATGGCAGGGGGCTCCCTGACTGGCTGGCACGCTGATGTGGCCACAGTGATGTGGAGGCGGATGCTTGGCATACTGGGAGACGTAAACTCCATCAAAGACCCGGAGATTCACGCCCAGGTGTTCGATTACCTGTGCGAGCTTTGGCAGAACCTGGCTAAGGTATGCATCCCCGGTGAAAGGAGCAGATCGCCACCAGTCCCCAGCAAAGTCTTGTGGCTCACTAAGTCCGCCGTACCCCCTCCCAGATCCGGGACAACCTGGGCATATCTCTAGACAACCAAAGCTCTCCACCTCCGCCATCCCTGATCCCCCCACTGCGCATCCTGACGCCCTGGCTGTTCAAGGTGATCCCCGTCTCGGCCCTGTAGGTCATGCCTGGAAGGGGCTGGTCCGTTGTTACTGCCCCGGCTCTCGCTGATCCTCTCCCCTTACAGGCCACCATGCTGACAGACCGGTACAAGCAGGGCAAGCTGCACGCCTACAAGCTCATCTGCAAGATCATGAAGCGCCGCCAGGATGTGTCGCCCAACTCGGACTTCCTCACGCACTTCTACAACATCATGCACGGCGGCCTGCTTCACCTGGACCAGGTTTGCTCTGGTCCTCTGTGGTCTCCTGGCTGCCTGGGGTTAAGTTCGGCACCAGCATTCGAAACCCTTTACGCTGCCCCGTCTTCCTGCCTCTCTTCCTCCCAGGACATCGTGAACACCATCATCAAGCACTGCTCCCCACGTTTCTTCTCCATCGGCCTCCCGGGGGCCACCATGCTCATGCTGGACTTCATCGTGGCGGCCAGTAGGGTGACGGCGTGTTCCTCCCTCAATGTGAGCATCGGGCCGTGGTCCAATTCACCGAATCCATCCAGCAGTGCTGTTTTATTGACTGAAGGGGGGTGTCCTCATTTTTGGAACCAGGGTCCCAAATTTTGTATGGCTTAATCATTTTTGCTTTCATTAATCAAATCTTACCAAAACTATAATGTTCATACTACTGCTTAAAATATTACTGGTAAAAATAATGAAAATAAAGTATAGAGCCTCAGAACCTCTCTAACCCTAATTCTCAACCATAACCACATCCTCCCTTTTAGTTAATTTCAACACAAAGGCAATACTGTCTTCATCTCAACTTCCATCTCTCAATGTTAACGTTGTCTTTTAACATTCTATTCTATATAGCATTTTATAATCTTTCTAAGGTCAGGTCAGATTGGGGAGGGGAGCATGCACTGGTGCAGCGCATTGCCACGCCCACAATATCACGAAACACTCCCCCCCCCCGGCTGACACGCAGTCTGACACGCCCCCTCCAGAAAGGCTGATATCGTTACTTACACAATGGACAAATCACATCACAGACAGAAGAACGTCTTGGCATCTTTTAAACACTCTCACAGCTGCCCCCCCCCCCGAGTGCTCCTGCTAACATGGCGCGCCCCCTTCTCCCAGGCCCCCCGAGTGGAGGCGCAGATCCTCCTGGGTTCCCTTGTGTGCTTCCCGAACCTGTGCGAGGAGCTGCCTGCCCTGCACCCCACCACCGCCGAAGTGGTCGTCACCAAGTTCAGGGACGTCAAGGTAACTGTGGGCGGCCCACCCTGTAACTGTTGCCATGGCGCCCCGCCGGGCTCATTTCCGTAATGAGCCATCGGCATGCGGGGCCGCAGTAACGGATCCGCCGTCCTCATTAAAGCACTAATGCCATGCAGGACAGCGTCCCGCGTCCGAATGGGGAAATTCGCACGATGCCATCTGATGGCCGGAGCCTCGTTTTGCATGACAAGAGGCGACTTAAATCTGCCCGTGGGCCCCTCTGGGCGCCGTGTTTATTGGATAAATAAAAGATGAGCGTGACTCGAGAAAACAGACCCACAGAGGAAGCTGTTAACTGTTTATGGGCTCTGCCGACTGAGTCGCGTGGGGCTCTGCCGACTCTTCTGTGTTGTCTGCCTTGCGAGTCACGCAGACATTAGCTGGTGCAGGTTTGAGTAGATGTGACCATAAGGCTGCATGTTCCGAGGCCGAGACTCTGGGGTTTTGCTGGGGGGTGGCAGGTCTGAACCTCTGTGTCTGTTCCTGTCTCCATAGGAACACATCATCAAACACATACTGCAGTCTGCCCGGGAGGAGCCCTCCGCACCGGCCAGGTACGCCTTCTGCCCCCCCCCTGAGAGAACATCCCGCCCGCAGCCCCCCCCCCGCTCTGCTCGATCCGTTCAGCCCGAATCTCGCCGAAGCGCTTTGCAGGCAGGCTGCGGATTAGCAACTCCGGCCTCCTCGTCTCCGTGACACGCCCCGCGGCCACGCGGAGGGGCAGCTGGGACGTGAGAATCCAGGGAGGGGGAATCGGGGCATGTTTGGGCTGCCATGACACTGGCCCCTCTCCCACCATCTGCTCCCCCCCCCCGGAGGGTCTGCCAGGCCTTGGGAGACTCTCTTCACGCTCGTTGCAGACCCAGATCTCAACATGTGGATGGTCTCCATGTTTTCTGCGCCGCTTTATGATGCCCAGCGCGCCCCCCTGCCGGCGATGACGTCGTAGCCTTTTCATGGCCCTGAAGTGTGCGTGCGATTCACCTGTCCGCAGGTGTGTGGCGCTGTGCAGCCTCGGCCTGTGGCTTTGTGAGGAGCTCATACACGACACACGGCACCCGCAGATCAAAGATGCTCTTAACGTGCTCTGCGTCACACTTAAGGTAGGCCCCCCCCACCACGTGGCTGGGGCAGGGGGTTCTACTTCCCTTTTGCTTCAGCCCCCAGAATATTGCGTAGCTGCTGTTCTCTCATGCCGAAGGTCATGTGACCTGTGGAGGAAGCGAGTGCTCTTTGTTGCTTATGTGACCTGCCGGGTCTCTCCTCAGTTCCCCAACAAAGCCGTGGCCTTGGTGGCGACCGATATTGTGCACCTGCTCATCAACTATGTGGACAACCTCCAGAAGTTCCCCCCGGACACACCCAAGAAGATTATTGAGGTCTGTTTTTGTGCTTGTTTGTCTGTTCTGTTTGTTTGCATGTTTGTTTGTGTGTTTCTTTGTCGGCGTTCTTGTGTATGTGGGCCAAGGGATTTTCCTACAGTTTACGTAAATGTTCTTTAAACATTTGTTTTGGCTCCTCCAGGTGCTCCTTGCCACCATTACCCACCTGCTTCCTGCTACAGAGTCATCACCTCACGAGCAGGACAAGAGGGTAAGGGAGGCGTCCACACCCCCGGTCCTGGAGAAGAAGCCGTTTTAACCGCTGACATCCATAGTGCTTTGCGCTCCGTCTGCAGTTCGCCAACCTGCACTTGTTCCTCTGCAGCTGGTGGTGGCATTGCTGCTCTGCCTGCTGGACTGGGTGATGGCGATGCCTCCCAAAGCTCTGCTGCAGTCCGTCCGCACCCAGGCGTCAGATAAGGTCCAAAAATCTGTCCTCAGCTGCATATTTAAGGTAGGTGGCTCCCCGTTGTGGCTGGGCTTGCCTGTTAACTGTCACCGCTTCTCTATACGTCTGCTGCCTGCAGCACGAATGCCTTCACCCTCCCCCTCTGGCCACACCCCCTTCATAAGGCACTCCAGGGACTAACCCCTGTTTCTATGGAAACGGACCGCTTCGGCACACTTGGGGTAGGTGGGACCAGGTAGCTGTTCTGGCTCTGACGCCCTGCCCTCGGCCCAACAGGTGCTGCACGGCTGTGTTTACGGTGCTCAGACCTTCACCAACCCCAAGTACTTCCCCATCCACCTGTCGGATCTGGCCAGCGGCGACTATGACCCCATGCTGCCCCTGGACAGCCTGAAGGAGCCGGAGCCTCTGCACTCGCCGGACTCGGAGCGCTCCACCAAGCTGCAGCCAGTCACTGAAGGTGCTTCCTGCCACCCTCTCTGCACCTTTCACTCCCCCTTCCTTTCCTCTCCCTCCCTCTCTGCTGTCTTCAGCCTCCCTCTGTCTCCTCCTCTGTCCCTCCCTCCTTTCACTCGTTTTCTCCTCTTTTCCATTTTACCGTCATTAGCCATCTCTCCACAGCCCCCGGAGGATCGCATTGTGTTTCAGGTCACCACGGCAACACCGTGTCAGTGGGGGTGGCAGGGGGGGGCTCTCCAACCTGACCCTGTCGTCCTCTCTTTACCAGGAAGCTTGAAAAAATGAGATTAGGCTAATTCCCGTAAATCTAAGCTGGCCTCAGTATGGCTCTAGAGAGAAAACGTGTGTGAAGAGGTTACTGGAGTACTTGCCCTTTAAATGTTCACCACCCGATTTAAGAGGCGGGTAGAGCGTGTAACCCGGTGATAAGGACCAGGGTGAGGTGGCATGGGCACCAAGCAGTTAAAGCCTCTGAAGAAGAATCAATTCGCACTTCACTGTTAGTCCCCAAATTGGAGGCGATAATGGGGCTGCTGGAGGCAGGTGAGCTTACCCAGGTAGCCCGCATCCCATACCGCTGTCCTGCTGGCAGGAGCCCCCCCAGTGCCACGCAGGACAATGCAGCCGGCGGCAGGGGGTCCGCGCTCTGCAGCATCCTCCACCAGGGGAGATGAGTAATCACCTGAGGCCTGTTTGAGTCATGCCCCCCCTGCCGGGCTGCTTCTCTTCCCGCGTCAGATGCATGCTAAGGTCCTTGCACGCTGTACTGACCTATAGGGGACGTCTGCATGAAGGCAGCCTTTAAATATAGACGGAACCTGGTTTAATAAAAGGTCAGTTTTGGGCTAAAAACCCATCAGCTTTATTGTTAATGTTCCTTAGTTCTGACGCCTTCTGTTGTGTGTTTTTGTATTTTGACTTATTTTGATTTGCTGCCGAAATGTACGATGTGTGTAAAATGCAAGCTGTGAATAACTTCATATCTTAATGCATTTTGACAGGAACATTACAAACACATAAGCAAGAATATTCCATGCAGTGATAAGTAATTTTGATGGATTTTAAAGTTTTGTTAATGTTTAAAAAAAATTCAAGTACTATTTAACCTTCCCAGTTTATTCGGTATAGCTTTAATGTGGTAAGAACTTGCCGACAAATTAATATACTGTATCTCTAAGTCTATAATCATAAATGCATATGAAAACTAATGCACGAATGTACAGAGTGGCTTATTTAAGAGCATCGCCGTGGTTCTGATTTAACCCCTGCGAGGGGGTGTGTTTGCCTGACAGACTCTCCCTCCAGGGGTCCACTGCATGCCTAACGCCATGTTCTGGTGATTCGGCGGAGAGCGTGTCGAATTAGTGCCTCCGTATCGACCGGCCCCTTTAACCGCAGGAACACTCCGGTCATCAGGCCCGCACGGTTAGCCGAGCGCCGTGCAAAAACGATTGCTCTCTGTCTCCCCCTGCAGTCAAGAGCCGCATGCAGCGGGGTCTGATCCCCATAGCGGCTCGCACGGTCATCACGCACCTGGTGAATCACATGGGCCACTATCCGATGAGCGGCGGACCCGCCATGCTCACCAGCCAGGTGTGCGAGAACCAGGACAACCCGTACAGCGAGAGTGCCGAGTTGTCACCTGAGCTCTTCAGCAGCCCCAACCTGCAGTTCTTCTCGCTGAATGGGGCCACGCTGCTGTCCAGCCTGCAGATCCGCGCGGAGGACGGCGTGCCGGGCGGGGGCATGTCTGCGGGCCTCGCCAGCACCAGCGCCTGCGTCCGCCTCATCGTCCGCGACATCTCCGGCAAGTACTCCTGGGACTCGGCCGTGCTCTACGGACCGCCCCTCTGCCCGTCTCCCTGCCCGCCCCCGCGCCCGCCGGGGCCTGTCCGCCATGCCGTAGATTGCTCCCATGGGGGCGACGTGCAGTGCCATAACGTGGAGGAGGAGGAGAAGATGGAGGAGGACGATGAGGTGGAAGGGGAGATGGAGGTGGGTCAGGAGGTGGCCATGGAGGAACCAGAGGAGCAGCCGGAGGAGGTGTGCGAGGAGGAGGAGGAGGAGCCAGAGGATGGCATGAGCCCACCGGCGCCCCCTCAGGCCAAGCGCCGGTGCCGGGAGTCAGTGCCGTCCTGGGACTCGGTGCGGGACGGGGAGGACGCCCTGGATGAGATGTTGCGTTACCTGGGCAACAGCAGCCCGGAATGCCTGCAGCGGGCCGGCGCCCCGCTGAACGTTCCAGCCCCGCCACCCACCTGCATCTCCGAGAAGCAGGAGAACGACGTCATCAACGCCGTGCTGAAGCAGTTCACGGAGGAGAAGGAGCTGGGTGCGCGGCGGGACGGGCGGCCCCACGTGCGGGCACCGCGCCAAGCGGAGCCGGCCACGCAGAGCCCCCAGTCCGCCTTCTACTACTGCAGGCTGCTGCTCAACCTGCTGGGCATGAACTCCTGGGAGAAGAGGTGGGTGCAGAGAGCCACAGGACCCCCCCCCTGCCCGCCGTGTGAGGCTTAATGATGGGGTATTGCGGACCCGGGCGGGGGGTGACACAACGGGCCTGTAATGAAGGCCAGGCGCCCCCATTCATCAGAGGTCCCCTTTGTCCGGCCGCTTTGTCCAGTCCTGTTACATCACAGCCGCGCGCCTGCGAAATGGCTGCCTTTCAGCTGGGAGAATGAGCTCTATTACCCAGCCTAATGTGGGGTGGGGGGGACAGGAAGGAGCGGCTGTATGTATTTTGCTCCGGGTCCCACGCTGTCATTAATACAGAGCATGAATCTGCAGGGATCGTTAAGTTATGTTTTTCTATGGTTGTACCTATAATGTCGACGCCGTTTTATCACCGTGAGCGGATCGCGGCCCCCCATTTCTGCCGATCTGCCCCGCCCCTGCTCCCCACAGCCCCCCTCCCCTCGTTCATTTTTTATGGCTGTCCGGCCCGGTCCGCGTCCTCGGCGGGATCGCAGATTGAGATAAGCGGCTTCCTTCGGGAGTCCTGCTAAGGGGATTGTGGACTGCGCTCTCGCTCTGTCCTTAATTAGCGCCCCGCCCCCCCCCTCAGTGGATACGCTTACTGACAGGTTTGCCTCCCGCTGCTTGGTGCGCTGGGTCTGTTATTAGATAAACCCACCCCCCAACACATGTAATGTGTGCCCCTTCTAGGAGCAGTTTCCACCTTCTGAAGAAGAATGAGAAGCTCCTGCGGGAGCTGAAGAATCTGGACTCGCGGCAGTGGTGAGACTAACACTGCGACGTCTCGGGGTCGAGCCTCGTCCGAGTGGGCGGGGCCTTGTCTGACCTGTGTGTGTGTGTGTGTGTGTGTGTGTGTCTCGTAGCCGGGAGACACACAAGATCGCCGTGTTCTACGTCGCCGAGGGCCAGGAGGACAAACACTCCATCCTGTCCAACACCTGTGGCAGCCAGGCCTACGAGGACTTTGTGTCCGGCCTGGGCTGGGAGGTAGGAGCGTGGCTCCAGCCAGGGCCGCCGGCCTCTGAGGACCCGAGGCAGGGTTAGCCGTAAGTGCCTGTGCTCCTGACCCGCAGGTGGACCTGACCAGCCACTCTGGCTTCATGGGCGGCCTGCAGAGGAACCGCAGCACCGGCCCCAGCATGCCCTACTTTGCCACCTCCACTGTGGAGGTCATGTTCCACGTGTCTACACGTATGCCGCCCGACTCGGACGACTCGCTCACCAAGAAGGTGGGTCCCCTGGAGCCGCGATACGGTCACAGGCAGTGACACGATATGACGTATTGGCCAAATCTCACAAACTATACAAGGCCGTCTAGGGCCCCCCCATTCCCCCACAGGGCTGCCAATCTCCATCCTGCATCCCCCCCATTCCCCCACCGGGCTGCCAATCACCATCCTGCATCCCCCCCATTCCCCCACCGGGCTGCCAATCTCCATCCTGCATCCCCCCCATTCCCCCACCGGGCTGCCAATCTCCATCCTGCATCCCCCCCATCTCCCACTGGGCGCCGCCTACCCCCTGTGACTGATTTGGCCCCGCCTTCCTCCCGCCCCTGCTTTCCTGCTCCTGCCCCCCCCTCCCTGCGTCGGTATTTGTCTTGCGGAATCTAATAAGGGTCATTAACGCTAACGATGGCCGTGGCCTATCCTCCTGCTTCCGCGTGCATCCGTCTTCAGGCCGACGCGCTGCTGACGTCGCAAGGCAGACGCATTAATACCTCACCTGGGTGTGCATGGCGGGGGGGGGGGGGGGGGCTCCCGCTGAGTTCCCGGAGCCCTATTGGATGTGGGGTGTGAAATGGGCGTGTCCTTAGGTTGAGTGCCCCAGCGACAGGATAAGGGGCCTGATGCATCGTGGCTGATGGGGTTAATGAGGCCCACAGGGAGTCACCCTTCCAATGCCCTGCGTGTCACAGCCACGTTAAGGCCCCCCCTTATGCAGGTCCGTCACTCCCACCCCCCGGACTCTCAGAGAGTGATGGCACCATTGTTTCAGATCATGGTTCCCTGCCTCCAGCCCCCTGATTTGATTTCCCAGACAAAACGACACACTAATCACCACTCACCCGCTTATCTCCTATCCCTCATTGCCCCTTTCCCGCCGCGTCGCAGAAATGACCCCCCCCCCCCCCCCGTGCGTCTCGCAGGCCATGTCCGCAGCCCCTGGGGGCCGCTCGCACGCTCTCGCCGCACACACCCATAATGCGGCCAGATTCGATTGTATCGTGGCCCTGCTCAGCATTATATCGTGAAACCGCCGGACATAATTGGATATGAGCTGTCAGAGGAGACACGGGCCAGGAGGGATCCACGAATACAGGCCATAAACCGTGTTACGCCGGCCGTGCTGACTGACCCCTCGCCCCTGCCCTGCGATTGGCTCAACATGGTCTCTTCCCCCCCCCCACCCCGCCTCGTTCCTGCAGCTCAGACACCTGGGAAACGATGAGGTGCACATCGTCTGGTCGGAGCACTCGCGGGACTACAGGAGGGGCATCATTCCCACTGAGTTTGGGGACGTCCTCATCGTCATCTACCCCATGAGGAACCACATGTACAGCATACAGATCATCAAGAAGCCAGAGGTGGGCGGGGCCACAGGGCTGGGTGGGCGGGGCCGTGGGGCCCGTTAGTCTGAGGGGCCCGAGCTCACGGGCAGGTCCTCCGTTATGAGCCCCGTAATCCAATGAGCTGGATATTTGGAATTAAATTCCACTGTGGAGGAAGATGAAACACAAGGCCACTTTAACAAAGTCCACGGAAGTGTAGGACCCTAAGTGGATGGGGGGGGGGGGCGCTCTGGCTTCTATAAATGCCAATTTGGGCCCTGAAACACAACATATTAGTAACATTAGCTTAGCTTTGCTACCCCCCACTCATTTTCAAAAGGACATATGGGCCTTCATCTCTCTGCTGAAATATGTGCGCCTCTGCTTTCTACTGAAGCAGGCGTTTTGTGGAGCAGCTCAGTGCTCCGGGTTCGAGCATCTCCCGTATCTCTCATTACCAGGTCCCCTTCTTTGGCCCCCTGTTCGACGGCACCATTGTGGACCACAAGATCCTGTCAACGGTGGTGCGGGCGACTGCCGTCAACGCCAGTCGAGCCCTCAAATCCCTCATCCCCCTCTACCAGAACTTGTATCCTTTCCCCATTCCTGCAGTCAGATACGGGCGCTGACCCACAGGGGGCAGCAGTGAGTCCGTGTAAGACTGGACCTTACAGCCTGACGTACCCGACCGAGCCGGGGGTGTCAGAGTGCCTCCCTCCTTCCAGCACGGGAAGCGACCCTCTGGATCGATGGCAAGAGGCGCTGGGTTCTGCAAGACATGTACACAGGGCGACAGGGAGCAGGGGAGCGGGTGTGTGCTGCATCGATCCAGATCCGGGGGGGGGTAGGTGGGGGGTGGGAATCGATGGATAATTGACGCCTCGTGTCTCTCCCCGGTACGGTCGCCATCTCATTCGCGACTAGGCCACGCTGCACCGTGATTGGCTTTCGAGCTCTGTGACAGGTGACGAGTCGTCCGTGTTAACGGGCAAACCGGCCGGTTCTGGCCGCCTGTCATGCGACGCGGCCAGTGAGCTGCTGGTCATGTGACCAGCCAGCCGTTATCTCCGATGGTGGGGAGTGCCCCCCCCACACTACACGCGGCCAGGTCGTGTCCCGCCGCTGTGGCTGCCAGCCACTCTATCTACACCGTCAGATCGTCCCCAGGACCCTGCCACTATCCCACTTCAAAAGCCCTCCTTCTTCGAAGAAACTGCTCTGCCAGAGACAAGATGGAGAGGGGGGGGGGTTGTGGTGGAGAGACCCAGTTCTCGCCGGCCTGGTCCTCCAAGAGAGCGCGGCGGTCTGGCCAGGACGCGCGGCTCTCAGAGCGATGGCGTCCGTCTGCGTGCGCAGCCAGCTCGATACAGGGGAGCGCTATCGATCGGCGTGAGTTGCACAGGTCGATGGTCCTGACAGCCAGAATTACAGTCATCTGTCATTATCGACGGATGTCTTTCCAGCATCCCCCCCCCCACCCCGTTCTGCCTTTGCCTCATCGCTGATAATTGAGGTACGTTTAGTTGAGAACTGATTGGCCTGACATGAAAAAGCAGTTTATTTGGGAGACTGGCACCCCTGTGGAAGGGAAGGCGGGGGGGGGGCTGATTGTCACCACGTGGTGCCCTGGGGAGTGGGCGGGACTTCCCAGGCTAACCCCCCTCCCCCTTCCCGGCATGCACCGGATCTCGTGTCACACGAGGCATGTACTCCTACTCCCATGTGCTGAGGTTTGGCTGGATTTAACTGTGGGGTTGGGTGGATTGGGGGGGGGGGTCTCAATTAGAGAGCAGATGTGTAACATGGCGCCCCCTGGAGCGAGGTGTTGTGATTACCTCTGCTTACACTCCAGCGGGATGTCACTCCTGAGGTGCTTGCAGACCCACACCTGGTGGCCCCTGTGTACCCGGCCCTGCTTGTGCCGTCAGGCGGTCGCACGGGAGAATTGGGCTGGGGGTGCTGTGTGCGGGGGCCCTCTTGGTTGGGATGCCGTGGGTCCTGCTCGACTCTCCCCTTCCCACAAGCCCCCATTCTGGGGTTTAATCGGCCTGGCTTGGGGCGTCAGGGTGGGGGGGAGGGGTGGTGCTCCAAGCTGTTTGGAGGCTAAATAAAATGCAACTGTGCAAGCCGCAGTGAGCCTCCATCTGTCAGCCGCCGATTGTGGAGGGGGCCGCCGTGCGTCTGCGTGGGGGGGCTAAGCCGCGCTCCCATTGGCCTGCCACTCCAGCGGCGTGTGTATGTGTGGGGGAAGGGGGCCGACGGCTGCAGCACGGCCGCTGGGCTGGGGGGGTCAGCATATGGCCAGGCGTGATAGGGAGAGCTTGGGTTCGTGCCCCGTCCCTCCACGCTGGCGTCCAGGGGCGAGAACCGATGAAAGCCTGGGCTCCCCCCCACAGTTGCGAACAGAGGGCCAAATGCCCCCCACCCTCCTAATACACAAGACTCCTCCCTCCCCAAACACACACTGGACCAAGACTCCCCTAATCCACCAAAACAACCCCCCCCCCAAGACCATCTCCCTGACATTTCTCTCCTCCAGCCCCCACAAAGGCCCCATTGTGGCTTCATAAATGGGGGGCGGCAGGGGGGCTATTTTTCTCTAATTGCTTCCTGTTGTTAAAGAGGAATGGAGGAGGACGAGTCGTTGGGGTGTAAAGTCTGCAGTGGGGGGGGGCGTCGGTGCCCCCAGCATGGGTCGGACGTGGCGCTAACAGGCCGGCCTTTTGCCCCCAGTGGATCTTGTAGCCCTTCTTTTTTCGGGTGGGTACGATCTACCCCTCAGCAGAGGCTGCGCACACCGGCTGGGGGGGGGCCACACCGTCCCTGTGTGTCAGACACGCATTTACGCTTTACCTGTCTTATGTGGGATCTGGCATGAGCCCCCCCCCCCAAACCCGCGCGATGGCCTGGGACCCCGGGGCGCTGTGGCACGGTGCCGTTTAAGTGGAGATTAATGGGTGGAAATGTGACGGGGGCCCCTCCGCAGAGCTGCCCCCCCCCACAGCCGTGACGGGGACACTAATGGCCGGGTGGCCGTGACAGCAGCCCATACTGGTAATAAAATCACTTTTAAACCCCCGACAGCAGAGCCATCAGATGGAAAAATAACCCAATTACTCCGCACTTGGGTACACATAGATGTCTGTAATTACAGTCTGTAAAACTACTCAAATTTAATTATTTATATGAATTTTTTTCCTTGTCCCCCCCCCTGTCTGTTCCCTTTGTTGCTCTCCGTGCAGCTGAATTAGGTTTCCCTGACATATCTCCATAGTTTAACCGGATATCTTGTGAGAGGTGGGGCCCCAGGCCGGACCGGGCCGTGTTTTATTGCCCCCCGATTTAGCTGCCCTAAGCCCCCCCCCCCCCCCCGAAGAGACAAAGGGACGCGCTGCTGTCTCAGAGCCCCGATTGGCTCCTTCTCTGTTGGCCATCCTTCCTGAATTTGCGCCGCTGTCTGTTCGAGGAGGCGCATGGCGGCGATGGGATGCGACCACGCGGCATAGGCTTCCTGGCCTGTGGGGGGGCGTTGAGTGACTGTGCTGGGGTCACCCCCATTCTCTCACCACCCACCCCCTGGGTGTGACGGACTGAAGAAACAGCTTGTTTAGACAGCAGCTTGTTCTCCCTGGGCCTGGCAGAGACCCTCTCTCTCCTGGCAGGCTTCATCCGCTCGAAGGGGGTTTTGGGGGGCGGGGGGGGGGGGCAGGAGTGATCAATTTGGAAGCTATCAGTAGCAGCATGTTCCGAGAGCGCGGGGACTGTTCCCCGGGCCGCTCCCAGATCCCTCCGTTCCCGACGTGCTAACAAGCTGGTTTGTTCGGAGTCGGGAGCCGTGACAATGACAACCCGGCGGGAGAGGCGGGGGGGGCTGGGGGGGGCTGGGGGGATGGGGCGCTCTTTATCCAGATGGAAAATGAGATTCTGCCCGCGCACAAAGGGCAGCGCTTTCCACAGCGCCCTCTGCACGGACGCACTCGGCGTGGATGAGCACCGCGAAACACACACTCTTAGAAATTCAATTACCTTATATCTGGGGTGGGGGGCTATTTGGCTGCATGTGCAAGGGGGTGAGGGGAGGGGGTGCTTTTCTTATCACCTCACAACAAAAAATAAAAAAAGCTCCTTTTCACAGCCCAAAGTAGGTAGCAGTCAACAGAGTGGGGGTGCTGGTCACCGTGGCAACACTGAGGAGACCGGTGGGGGCCCTGGAAGGGGACGCGGGGATGTTACCATTGTGAGGTTACAGGTACAGACAGCAGCCGGAGTGTAATAACGGTGATGCAGCAGGCCGGGGGCGGGGGGGGGCGCAGCGTGAGCCAGTGTCGCAGGTTTCCGCCGCTGTCACATGGCTTCGTCAGCCCACTGCGCCTGCCCCCCCCCCGGCCAATCGCAGCCCATAATTGATGGCTCTGGGTTCCAGTATCACGGTGTAACCACGCCGAGCTGCTTCCTGCCGGGGGGGGGAGCAGCACGGGAAACGGGAGGTGTGGCTGCAGCACCGCTGCATGCCCCCCCGTGCTGAGACGAGCTGGAGACGGGCCCCATTTCCTCACCCGCTGTTCCCCGTAATGGGGCGCTGCATCCGTGTTCGCGCTCGCCCTTAACGTGCCGCCCCCTCAGCTACGAGGAGCGGGCCCGCTACCTGGAGACCATCGTGCAGCACCACCTGGAACCCACCACCTTCGAGGACTTCGCCGCCCAGGTCTTCTGCCCGGCGCCATTCCAGCAGCTGCCCTCGGAGTCGGGTACGTCCCACTGCCGCAGGGCGGAGTGAGCTGGATGTTCCGCCGCAGATGCTGCTCCGGTGGGCCTCGCGATGCCGCCAGGCCAGGGTGGGGGGATTCGGGCTGCCGGGGGGTTGAGCGTCAGCCCATCGGCGAGGCGGATGTGGACCGTCCACAGCTCTCCTTCGCTGCTGCGGTTCCGAATTTCACAGTGATTCTGGGCTCTGATCCGGCACCGGTGGCTCCCCCACCCCCAGGCCCTGATTAATGCACCCCCCTCATCATTGGGGGGCTTCCCCCTTTTGGGATGAATCCTCGTGAGCAGGCTGCTCCGAACAGGGGATGATCCTCTGCTTGTTGTTTCGCCTGTCTGCCGTTACAGATGTTTGAACTGTATTTGCACATACATAGTATTTTTTTCCATGAAAAACAGTGTGTCACTGGATGTGTCAGGTTGCCCCCCCTGGTGCCGCCCAGGTCCAGGATCAGCTGATGATCATTCTCTGGTTCTTTGGTTCTCGTTTTTCTTTTAGATCATTAACTATCGCTTGTGTATCTGAAAGGTAAGACTGGAAGCCATTTTAATCTCACTTCTGCCTGTCAGATTGTAAGGCCCCCCGTCCTGTCCACTAAACCGAACCTCCTGGGGGGGGGGGCAAGGGCAAGGACACCCTCTCTCCCTCCTGATTAAAACGTGGCACTAACCCCTGGCCCGCATGCCGTCTAACAGACCAGTCGGTGTGTTCATTTGCAGGTAGACCGTGGTGCTCCCTATCACGGCTGGTGTAACCCCTAACACTGTTCGTTCGTTCGCCTCTTCTCGTCTCTTCACCACTTCATTAACACCTCTGGTCCTACAGTGTCCTCTGGCATGAGCTGCAGCTGTTTTCGCCCACACCTCTGTGTGTGACATGCTATATGAAGCACGCTACGCGTTTGAGGGAGATCATGTCACGGAGACACATAAAGGGATTGGCACCCTGTGTCCGGTGTTACATCATAGGGGCGTTCCGTCGTGTCCTCGGTCCGGGTTGTTTTTTTCTGTGTAGTTCGAATGTCAAGGTGTGAAGGTTTCAGGTATCCATCACACTAAGACCCATCAGAACCGGAGAGCTTCTGCTGGGCCATTCTGGTACCATCTTCTAAGATCTCTATAATCATAATCGCTCTTCTAAAAGTTCCCTCTCTGGAACTGTGTTCCTGGTTAATATTGTAAGAACAAAAATAGGAGCAAACAGGTCAATGTTTTTGGTTGCGATTTAGTAGCATTCAGAGATTTTATGCTGAAATTGTTTAATTTTCCCATTTACAACTATGAGTACTTACTACTTCCATGACCTCAGCTTGCATCTCCCCAAACCCCGTTTCACTCAGCAGCTTGAATCACTTTCCTTTTCATGACTGTACAGCTGCTATTAGTACATATTATTAGGCTCAGAGATCAGATCAAATCAAAGTTTATTTATCAAATGTGCAGCAGTCCAGCAAACAGCAGTAGATGCAGGTAAAATGAGTTGTTATATTAAGCAGCAGGCGAATGTAAAAAAGTAAATTAATGAAATGGTAAATGAATTCTAAAAAGAAACAGAAAAAAGAAGAAAAATGGACACGTGCAAATCATCCCTACTAATAGCCTGACCAGCTACTGAGTAGCCTCACTGCCTAAGCGTAGAAGCTACCACTGAGTAGCCTCACTGCCTAAGCGTAGAAGCTACCGCTGAGCCAGTTTGTGCTCCAGTATTCTGATGCCGGTTCACTGACAGCAGTAGTGATGTGTCCCCCAGAGAAACTAGTCAGCCATTTTCTAGGTTCGCTCTTTGACTATTTTTTTAAGCTATGTCACCACCAAAGGCTCAGTATGAAAATCTTTGACCTGGTTGACATGCCAGTGGAAAAAGGTCCCATGTAGCTACCTCACTGTTGCGTGTACAGAAACCCCTTCACACGCGTGTAGCGGCACAGTTCGGCGGGAGTCGCACACGGGGTCACCCTTGCGGGGGAGGGGGGGGGGGTTTGGCAGGATTTGGCATCAGTAAGTAAACCTTAGCTTTGCATGCCATCTTAGTATCCAAGGCCTGTGTCTTTAAAGGTGGTGAAGAGGTCTGTATGTGTCGGGGGGGGGGGGGGGGGCGGCTCTGTGTTTTCGCTGCCCGATGAGTCTCGTCATGTAGCCTCCCACTCTGCTCCCATTTGTTAATTTTCCATTTCTTTTCCCCTCTCTCTCTCTCTCTCTCTCTCTCTCTCTCTCGCGCTCTCTGTCTCCCTCCTGTTTTTCCTTCCGCTCTTCTCCCGTTCGGCTCCCACCTCATCGCGTTCCCCCGTTGTCACTCGGGGAGATGCCGTGATTGCTCTGCTGCTTCCCAGAACCCCATAGGTAACGTGGGGCTGGAGGAGATGCCGGTCCTCCTTCCGGGGGTGTCGCTAACCCCCCCGGCACAGGCTGAGCTGCACGGTGGCCTCTAAACAGCGAAACTGCGAGCTCTCGGTGTTGATTAGTCCCGCATCTCCTGCGGCTTCTTCCTCCAGCTCGGCTCAGGCGAGCTCGCACATGCAGGCTCGCTGCAGCCCGTGGCGGAGCGGAAGCATCCTTGCTGTGTCCCTTTCGTTTCTGGTTTGCGCCGAGCTGGAGCAGGCCCTGGTTGGGCGGGAGGGGGCACCCAGTACGAGCTGGAAAGGCAGGGCATATCGTTACCATGTAAGGCCACTTATCTGAGCGCAGGCTCCACTGGACGGTGACACCCAGCCAGTAAGCTTGTCTTTTTCACTGGAAACTACTTTAACAATATGGGCAACTTGAATGGGAGCCATTCCTGACACCCCCCACCCCCCACCAGACATCACAGTGTGATCCAGATCGCTGATTTCACGTCGGAAAACGGCCTTGGACCGGTTCGGACTGGTTCCAGCTCTGCACACTAAAGGAAAAGGCGCCCAATGTCAGGTTGTGTAAAATGTGGCCTGGGGTTGGGACGGAGTCTGTCCCAGGACCCACTGGGCCCGTTTGATCCCTGGGCCCCATGGTGGCATCTGCGCGAGTCCCGGCCAGCTGGGTGAATGCAGGAGACGCGGCCAGATGGCACGTGACCGCGAGAAGCGTCCCAGGTCCCCCTTCCCCCCCTGTTGGGGCAAGCCAGCCGCTAGAGGAGGCAGTCTCGCGCCATCAAGAGTCTCTCCTGGGGGGCCCTGATGCCTCTGCTCCCCCCTCCCCCACAGGCTCGTGTCCCGAGAGTCAACCGGCCGAAACCCCAGCAGTGCCAGGAGACGGGACTGACTTGCCTTCACCGATGTCGCCCCGCGCCAGCAAGAGCCGCATGTCCATGAAGCTGCGTCGATCCTCAGGCTCCGCCAACAAAACCTGAGCGTCGCCCATGCCCCACGGCCGGGCTGCACCCCCACACGCTAGGGGGCGGAGCCCCGGCAAGCCACCGCCTCCTCCACACCCTCCGACACGCAGCCAGACGTCATATACGTGTATTTACGGTAGATATCTATATATACACATATCCATGTGCATAGGTAATGTACAAACAAAAAACAAACAGATGTGTATTTTTGTGTGTCTGCTGCATGGGATAGCAGCTAGAGCGTCTGCTTAGACGTGATTATTAATTACCCACCAGTTAATGCTCTTAGCCTCGTGCTAACGTCTGTCATCTTAGCTGTGGTCACCATGGCAAGGTAGTGAAGGCCTTCCCAATGGGATCCCATCTCGGGTCGCCTCAAACATTTACTGTATTCCACACCGAACACACTTTTATATCTGTACAGTGGTATATACCTAAAAGAATAAACCTTTCTTTATTAAAGGGCTGGATGAAAGTATCCTAGTGTTTCCGAGCTGGAAGGTTTTTGCAGTGGTGTTGCCTTGCGATTTGGTTCCCTAACTTGGACTTGTGGCTGCACCAGGAATGACAACATGCACTGTTTTTTTTTTCCATTTTTCTTTCGATTCTGCTTCTAATGAATGTTTTTTTGATTTTTTTTTTTTTTTGATTTTTTTTTTACGCACTGTGTATAATGCCCTATGTATCCCTTCTCACTGCAAGCGGTTATGTAAAAATATATATGTTGGTATGTGAGTGAGAGGTATGTGTGTAAGCACTGGGTATCTGTATATATTTCACTGTATTTAAATCTGCCAGGAACAGAAACTTCAGTTAACCTCCAGTCACCTTTAGGACGAATGGCATGTTAGAAATCCTGCTCTGACCTGACTTGGCGACGACGCCCTGGCACCACAAACAAACACTTCAGCTACAGAAGGGAAGACTCTCACCGGGGAGAGGAGCAGTCCTCCAACAGGCCTGTCCCTCTGATACGGCTGGATACCAGGAGCTCTGCGGTCTGCGCGCGGCCCTGAGGAGCTCTGCGGTCTGCGCGCGGCCCTGAGGAGCTCTGCGGTCTGCGCGCGGCCCTGAGGAGCTCTGCGGTCTGCGCGCGGCCCTGAGGAGCTCTGCGTGGTGGTGGACAGCAGGGCCGATTCATGCCACGGCTCCCGTTTTTGCTTTGCTGTATTTTTACATCCATTATGTTTGGTATATTTCTGCGACGGCAGCAGGTCTTCTGCTGCACGACCCGTGTTTGACCTCACGTCACTGGCCTCCGTCTGCCCCGATGGTGATCCCGTACCCGCAATCGCACCGTGAATCCCAGTGAATTTACCTTGTGAGTTGCAGTCGCCAGTGCAAGCAACGAGAACGGCAGCATTGGAACATTTTTACGCGGCCTGACGTCCGGAGAAGCAGAGCTGCTTTGGTCCACCCTGAGAACGCGTTGGCCTGGAATGCCCAGTGTCCGTAGGACCGCCGCCCAGCCCCGGCAATGGCGCCCCCCACCTCCCAGTCTTCCCAGTGCCCACGTATCACTGAGGTGCCGTCAGGTCATTCGGTGTATGTCAGGACTGCAGCATGAGGCAGTAGAAGCTGCATGAGTCTGTTACAGAACCACTCACTGTTAACGCCATCGCTGTCAAACATTAGATTCCCTGTTTGTAATCGCTGTACAGGAAGAACAACAGACGTGCTATTTACTTTGACAATAAAACTGTTCAAACGGAGTCTGGTGGTTTGGTGTCTGAGGGAGGGACTGACCAGGCCAGTGACACCAGCTAGAAAAGGGGGGACCCTGCATTCCTATCCACTATGAGGGTGCCATCATCTCTCAATCCCCAGAAGGACGAAAACATCACGTCAGCTGTCCGTCCTCAGCAAACTGATCTCGTACCCTACCAACCCTCCCCATTGTGAGACCATAAGAGACATAATATTTCAATGACGCTTGTTGAAAGACCTCGAAGACAGAGATTTTTATAAAATACTAAAAAAGAAAAAAAACATCGAAAACTCGAGTTAGATTTAGAAGAGCAGAATGGGGACAGGACGAGATGGACAAACGGCAAACATCATTAATGAAACTGTAACTGATTTTTTTTTTTATTAACCTTTGGCTAACACACAATAAACAGACGTCCAATAAGCACACATTATGTTCAGCACAACTGAAAAGCGCACAGTGTCCATATCTACTGCAATACACCGTCAAACTAACCAGTTTCCCAGCGTTGACACTCGGGGATCAACTCGTTTTCCCGTCACAAAACACAGACACCGACAGGTAATCATTTTTCAGTAGGAAAATAAATGTAGATAGTGTCCTTTTATAATAACAACGGGCAATATACGCATATTTCCATAGGAACCATCTCGAACAGTTTTAGACACGCCGTAAGCTGCTTCGAACGAGGTTTTATCGTGTGATTTTCAGTCTGACAAAAATCCCCACAGGATATCACACAATGCCGAAACTCAGGCAAACCAATGATGATTATACCTGTAATCCCAGAAACGGCTGCAGCTGTACCGCTTCACTGTCATACTAAATGGCATCACTCCTTTAACCTATTTGAAGTTGTGCATCGACAACGCAAAACGACATACAGACGAAATCTACTGATTGATAGACTAACTTATTTGATTTAAGATGTATGATGTGTTGCAATTTAGTCCCACTTCAGTACTATACACAATTTTATAAGTACTTTGGCCTATTTAAAATACATATTTAGTTTTTAACGTTCTACGTTTTCCGACTACAGTGATATAAGTTCCGAAATATCCAGATACTTAAAACCAATGCGACATACGCTGTGCTTGACTTCACACGGGAGGAAAGACGCTTCTTGGCGCATGTACAGAGTTGCGTTCATCTGCATGTTCCTTTCGGGAAGCTGACAGTCCCAGCGCCGCTCTCCTAAGCTAGCAACCCGGCCGGACGGCCATCTGAAGCAACATCACCTGTCGGCTTTCCGTCGGGTGAGCTTTATTGATGTGCCTGGTCAAGCCCGGCGAGCTGAAGAAAGTGGAAGGGCAGTGCTTGCAGGAGAAGATCTGCTGGTCGGATTGCAGGACGTCGGGAGCCGCGAAGGCGCTGGTGCCGGCTGCTTTGCTGGGACACGCCAGGAGCTCGTCCCTCACTGCGTGCCACAACCGGTGCTTATCCCGTATCTCCACCGAGGGAAAATGCGCCCCGCACAGCTGGCAGGGGAAGGTGATCTGTCCGCTCTCGATCTGGTTATAGGACGCGGACCTCAGCGTTTCGTGAGCCGCCTGGTGCTTTTTGAGGTACGCCTGCCTGCGGAACTTTTTCTCACAATATTGACACTCGTACACCTCCTCGGGGGGGCAGGCGGACAACAGGTAAGAGCCGGCGATGGCATCAGCCGCCCGGGAGCAGCCCGGGAACAACTGGTCATCTCTGGGGATGTGATGCGTGTCCATGCGTTTCTCTGGCGCTTTGTAGAGCCGCTCCAGCGCCTCGTTTTCCTGCGGGTTTTTGCGATGTTTATCCTGTATGTGCAAGCCGTGAGCGGGGCGGTGCTGCGGAGTCGGGGGCTGGGAGCTGTCCAGGGGAGAGTGGTGCTGATCGTTCTCTTTCCCGTCCACCGGCACCGCTTTCTCCGGTTCCTTTTTGCCGCCCAGCTCTGCGTGGTTCATCGGACGGGGCTTATGCCACCTGCGGTGCGAGGCCAAGTTTGCCGGGCAGCTGAAAACTTTGTCGCAGTCCGGGCAGCGATACTCTACGCGGACGATTCTGGAGCACTTGTGCTGCGCCAGTGAGAAGGGGTCGGGGTACTCCTCCTTGCAAAGCTGGCAGATGAACTCGCCCAGCGGCTTTCTTCTCGCGGAGGACGGCGTCTTCGACTCGGGACCTTCCTTCTTTATTTTCAGTCCGAGCACAGGCGAGATGGTCACCTCATCTTCGAAGCTCAACTTTCTCGTCACTTTAGGTTTTTTGGCCGCGGGCTTGGCTTTGCGATCGGGGTCGAAGCACGACCGCTTGGTGTTTGGGTCCAGCGGCGCGCACAGGTGCACAGGTGTGTTAAACTTCGGGTCCGCCGGCGAGCTCAGCAGCCTCTCCATGGAAGCCACAGGCGCACATGTCGGGAATGATTCAGCCGTTGCTGGAGAGCTCAGGCACCTCTCAAAAAAGGACTTTCCCTGGTCCGACCCTACCGGCTTAATGGGGCTGTAGGAGGCTTCTGCTCTACATGGAGATCCAAGTTGGTGTCTGCTAATACCATCCGTCGTATAATCGCGAAGGTAATCGGGACCTTCGCCCTTCCCTAAGCTTTCGGTCGACTGGGCTTGCTGCGTTGCTGCCTGGACACCTGTACGCATTTCGCTCCCTCTCCCCGGACTTCGGACATCAGGGCAGGTGACAGGGACGCCACCCTCGGCGCTGTACAGGGGCAGCTCTGCGCTATGTGCTCCGCTGTCCGCCTCCCGCATCCTGTAGGATGCTGGTGAAGTCCGCTTGCTCCTTTTCACTAAAAATCCCCTGGGCATGTTTTTAAAAAGGACTCCCTGAGTGTCAAGCAGGGGTGATCGGTGTCTGGCGACCCGAATGTATAAGTGAGGGCAGGGACACAGGGAGACGGAGTGTGTCACATTGGTTTGCTGGTTGTTTTTATCTTTGGGGGAGTCTTTTGTGCTCCGTGAAGTCACGGCGTGTGTCAAAGCCCTGCCCAATCAGTACAGGAGCGGCGATTTACACCGCAGTCCCAAGAGGACATCAAGTGGGAGGGGCGACGCCTAACAAGGATGCCTACGGTCGATGTCAAATCTACCAAATCTACTAATACATACGGATATTAATTCATCAAAAAGAGAAATTGTCTTTTTCAAATTAAATAGAACTTTGTAGCCTATATTCGTCCATAACGCACACGGCAAACTACATGTATTCCTAATAGTACTTGCTAGTACTGTATAACTGTAGAAGACGTTTGAATTTATAGGTGCCTCAGAAAATTAAAACTCCCAAAATCTGTCACACACCACCTAAAGTTAAAAGCATTCAATCCCGTACGATGCTGCAAGTCTGTCTTTTAAATCCTTTCAGAGTATGATGGCTATTTCTGGTATCTTTTTAAACTGATAAATGTATAGGAAAATACAAATAACATGGTAATATTTGTATTCCGTTTGGTAGTCTAATTAAACGCAACGACATGGCTATAATAAACATATCTATTTATGGTAGCCTAAATTATAGGCCTACTTACTAAAATAACAGCAGTCATAATAGTGATCATAACAATGTTGATTAATTTCCATTTCTCGCGCCCAGCTATAAGTGGTAACTCGATAAAGCATTCCGAAAATATTAGCTCATATTTCACTTAGTATATTCGCTCAAAAGTAAACTAATAAAACTAATAGTAACAATGTTGAAATATTGTAATACAAATGGGACCTGTTTGAACTCGTTCGTTATAACCATTTAGAGGGAAATGAGAAGGTATGAGGATACAAAGTTTCCGTCAGTGTGTGTCTGCTGTCACGTCTTCGGCCCGGCGGCTAACAGGCGTCTCTGCGCCCCTGCGCTCCTCTCCGTTTACCTCCCTCCGCCTCCCTTGCTCGATCTCTACCGTTTCGTGTGTTTCATAAAAGCAATTAAAATTGGCAGATTCCTGGGGCATGATGTCCCGTCGGCATGCAGGGTAATATATCATCAGAAAGCGGCCTGATGTCATAATCTATCCATTGGATGCACTTCACCCGCTTTTTATTAACGCTCCAGCACGCTGGCTGCGTGGGTCCGTCCGACGTTCAAACTTAATTATTGTTTCATTCAAACTCTATCTCCGATGAATAACCTTCCCTGTCCAAGTCAGGAACAACTCACAACTGTAATTTCCAGTTTGAGTGTTTTACTGTGTATGCCCGACGGTTTTATATATGTGTATTTTTAACAATTTGTATTTAAGCCTAGACCTACAAAATGAAAGATTCGTCGGCGATGCACGATGATTCATTGCTTTGTCGAGGTGGGAAACAGCAAACTGTATGACAGAGCACATCATGTAGGCCTATAGGCTATATAATGCTCACGACAATATGTCTGAATCATGTTTCTACATACCAAGTAGCTACTATTGGGACTACAGTTTACTATGTGCGCTATGGTGAAATGTAAAATACAAAGTTCTGTTTAATCTGAAAGGAGCACTTCTCTTGTTGAAGAAATAGACCTATACTGTCCACCGTATGTATTTGTAAATTTGACATCGATCTTATTACTCAAACGGCAGTTCAACTAGAAATAGGCCTACCCAGCAAACAATATGACGTTGAAATGACGTCTTTTAGACGTCTTGGCCTACCATAGAAAAGACGTCTTCAGAGGGTGCAGAATGAAAGTTTTTATGACGTCTTTTTTAGACGTCCTCTGGATGTTCAGTTATGACAACTATAAGACGTCTGTATAAGGTGAAAAAACAG